GTCTATGGTTTTGACCAAGTGGCCAATTACAATTCAGATAACTATTTATACCTGACGTATGGGTAACGTGTTTAAGACGTTTATTTCCAAGGTTAGTGATTGATTTCGGCTTCTTCATATGTTGGAGAGGATTATGTACTGTTAAACATACTTGCGATGGTTTGGAAGGTTCGAATATATCAACGTTAAGTTCGTGGTCAGTTATATGAATGTTATAATTAGTTTTCCTGTTATCCGTTGCACAGTTACTGTAACTGGGTGTTGCATTAACAGGGGTTTGGACTGTGTTATTCCATTCTTCATCAGCACAACTATTTCGGGTTGAATCTAAGTCAACATTCTCAAGAGGATGGACACCACCTACATCAGGATTACTTTCTTCTGGGTTCTGTATCCATTGATGTTGAAGAGAAGGCTTTTTGTGGCCCGGCCTTGTCTCCTAAGTAAGTACAAAGTTAATGTATCAACTGAGTCAGCTACTTAGCTCTATACCTCAAGACTATCCGTAAACAGAAGATTTTAAGAGTTTAGATAGTTAGACAGGTCATTAGTGAATAATAAGGAAAGGAATGGTCGTATAAATGAGTCTTGTGGCACTCCATTTTTCATGTAAAACAAATCTGCCAAAGTATTATCAACCTTGACAGCTTGTAATTTTCTGTTTAAATAATTTGATATAGGCTTCACCAGACACCCATTTACACTAATAGTATTTTGTTTCTGAGACGGAATGAGTAAGTCGATCACATTGAATGAATTAGTAAAGTCCATTGAGTAAATATGCGCCGGGTAGTCGTGTTTTAGTCCAGTTATTCCATGCAGTTAATAGGTTTGCGTTACAAGATCCACCAGGCAGGAGACCGGGTCGCTATTCAGAAAAATCAGATTTACCATCACGTTAATTACACGAGGAATTATTCGCAACCCTTTCCATGCAATTCACTACTCTGGATAGCTAAAAAACTATCCTATGACTGGGTGAAGTTTCCTTTTTATCCTCATTTTTATGTCGGTAAGATTACGCCGCTGCCAACCAGGATTGCTTAAAAAAAGTGACAAGAGGGAAGAAGAGAAAGTTTACTTGCTCATTCAGAACATGACAGCAGAGTAGCACCTCAGACAGTAGAATCATGTGGGTTTAAGTAATTTCTTTTACGTCGATGGAGCCATTTCATCCCCCCAGTGTACACTTTCGGACTATGTAGTCACTAACTTTGCAAAAGGTTTTGTATTGGTCACCTTTATAAGGTAAATCTATTATAGGCAGACAAAGCGGTATGAAGACATGATGGCTCAGTCATAACGTGTTCAAGTTTAGTAAGTTGGTAGCTATGATATATCGGTTGTGAGAGTGTAATCTAGCCTGGAGACGTGTCCACCAGAAATGAAGTATATTTTTTAATATGCTGAGTTCGTTTATCAAGTTATCAATAGCAGCAACCAACTTAAAACTATAGACTATAGAGAAAGATGAGGAACATTAAAGTCAACCACTGACATGACAGTCGAAAAGCTTCAGATGGTCTATAGATTACGCTAACCAGAAAAGAGCCACAAATACGTAAGGCACAATCCCATCACCCAGTGCATAGCAAGAAGGAATCAGTTTTAATCTTTGTTCTAAAAGTCGTATACATACTTTGTAAAGGGTAAGCTTAGCCTCTGTTGTGGAGAAATTTTTCCATATGAAACCGAATAGCTGTACAGATTTAGAAATAATAAACGAGGCATGTTCTTCAAACTTTAGACTTCCTTTATAACTAGTACATAGATCATGCATTGACCTGAGTGTTTGAACTGTAATTTTATTGAAGTAAAGTTGTAAATCATATGAATGTTTTCCAAAATGCATGACCACACACTTCTTAAGGTTGAATGGTAAATGCCATTTTTCGCTCCAGATAGTTAGGTTATTGAGGTCACTTTGAATCTGGGATACACGTTCGCTTAAAGCTTTAGGCTTAAAGCTGTATGCAATTTTGAGATCAGCGTATAAGCATGGTCTCCCAAATTTTATTGCGTTACATATATCGTTTGTATACATAAGAAACAAAAATGGACCTAATACACACTCCTGGATGACTCCACTAATTACTGGTCTAGGTGATGAGAGTCATCATACTTCACCATTTGTTTACGTTCTGTTAAGGATGAAGCAAACCATGAGTATAGTGGGTTTTTGATTCCGAAGGAATTTAGTTTTACGGGAAGCCTTTTGTGTGCGACCTCATCAAACTCTTTCTTAAAGAATAAAAATAGAACTGATGAGAAATCTTGAGATTTGAGAGGAAGATGCTTAAAGCATAACCCCATCACTTCCGACAGATGATTTATTTAAAGCAATTGGTTCTTTTTATAGATTTCGATAGAATAATGGGAAGACGGAGTTGATCTGAAAAATGTGATGTATTAGCGCTATACATTTCGAACAATCTGGTCACACATATACTTGTCAGGGAATTTTTATATGAAAATTAATAAAGGTCAAAATGTATAGAAAACGAACTTGGAAGGGACAATACTTAAATTTCCATAGTTTCTGTCCATTGCAATACAAGAGAGGTCTGGTTAAGTGCCCCTTTAAGAGGACTCGAAGAAAATGTACCTCTGACATGGTGGAAAATAATGAAAAGTTAATGACTGACACATTAATAGCAAACGGTTATCCACTCAAGTTTATTAATAGGTGCGAAAGTCAGTTAATGCCAAGACCTCTATTTTATTCAATGCCAAAGAAAAAAGTTTATATCAATCTACCATATAGAGGCAAATCTAACAGTATAGTCTGAAGGCAGAGATTGAAAGCAGCCATCGAGAATACGTATTTTGCTACTCAGTTGGTTGTGACTGAAAAGTCTAAGGCCATGATTCCTAATAGACCCAAACAATGCATTAATGATTACGTCACATCCCATTGTATTTACCAATTTACATGTTTGTGTGGACACACATACATAGGGAGGAGTAATCGAACAATGCAATCAAGGGTCAATGAACATGTGCCCAGATGGCTTCAAAATCAGTGTGTGTCAAATGACCCGATTAATGTAGGAGGTAGAAAACCAAGTTCATCGATAGCAAAACACATAATTGAGACGGGGCACAAGATTAACATTAATACAGCATTTAGAATGTTGTATAGAAATTGTCAAGGTCGAATTCTTAAGTTTATTGAAGCCTTAGCTATTCGTAAATTTAAACCCACTTATGTGTACAAAAACAATTTGTCGTAACCTTGAATTTACCTCGGTACTCCTTAAGTCATTCTATGGCCTAAGATAACGCGACAATTTCTTATTCTTTATCTCCACTTAGTTATTTTACTTGTAGTTTTATTTGTTTGACCCTTATTAATTTTCATATAAAAATTCCCTGACAAGTATATGTGTGACCAGATTTTTCGAAATGTATAGCGCTAATACATCACATTTTTCAGATCAACTCCGTCTTCTCATTGTTCTATCGAAAAATGATTTATTCGTGTCAAACGACTGGGAACTGCTGAGGAATAGTTTGAAGTGAAGATCCAACCTTCAGTTTAATTTTACATTGAAGTTAAAAGCGTATTTAGTTCAGATAAATAGTCCCTTTCTTTGACTTCGGGAGATGAAAATTTAGATGGTGGTTGGAGGTAGTCAACAGGAAACCCTGGACCCGGGTTTCGTGCTACTTGGCACTCGTCAGCAAGGTGTACCTGTAATCTTGAGGGAACTGGTGCTCCCTGGCGGATTCGATCTCGTGTCACCCAGCTTCACAGTCAGAGACGTTACCACTGAGCTATCCGAGCCGTGACTAACCTCCTGTAGGACTGAGATGTAATTACAATTGATTGATCACTGGGTGGTGATCAATGTCTTGCTTGTCTAGTCCTTATTAGTGCAGATCGAATGCTCGCCAGGGAGCACCAGTTCCCTCAAGATTACAGGTACACCTTGCTGACGAGTGCCAAGTAGCACGAAACCCGGGTCCAGGGTTTCCTGTTGACTACCTCCAACCACCATCTAAATCTCAATACATAGTGCCCGCAGTGTCGAGTCACCTAAACTGGTGGCCACATTGCAACGTGATCGAAAGCATTCGATCTGCACTAATAAGGACTAGACAAGCAAGACATTGATCACCACCCAGTGATCAATCAATTGGAGATGAAAATATTTCGGAACGTATACAGAGACAAATTACAAAGCCGGTCCTTGACACTAAGCTTCAATGATCGATGAAATATTTACACACAATGAATCCATACTCTTTAGAATATGTGTGGTTTATAGGTAACTGAAAACAAAATCTTAAACCCCTCTATCGATTCCACAGAATACTTACTAAATTTTAGTCTACAGCCATAACTTCAAAGACGTATTTGCAATTCGCGTGTACACCAGCCTTTTGTCCATCATAATATCATTATATTGCTGCTTTGAGAAATGAGAAAAGGCCCAGTAGGTTGCCTGTATTAACTATAGAATGACTTGATCCTGACCGGTTGTATAAAAAACTTGTTCGTCATCCAGTGGGAAAAATATGAGATATGTGAAATAAGGTGAATAACTCTGAACTCACACTCTGATGCTTTTACCGCAGTTTTAGATTAAATCAATCGATTCTACAAGTTAGCAGCATGTGGGTTGCTGCCAAGAATGTAATAGGGGTGTTTTGTTTGCAACCATACTGTCTGCTCTTTACGAATAGTCAAGCCTAGTAACTGTCTAATGATTGAAGTGGTCTGTGAAACTTCCTCATTCTACAGGAGGAAAACTGATATATCACTAAGGACTTGGCGTGATATCTCAGACATATCAACCAATTCTTTTCCATTTTTACTTTTTTATATGCCTAAGTCCGTGTCTAGAGATACCAGTGATTCAGTACTGCTGGACACGTAAGCTCGTTAAGTGAAGGCATATTTCATTATATACATAATCAATTAACCAACTCCATAATCTAACTCAAAGAGGACAATCTAGCAAAATTTAGTGCTCATACCTGATATATTGTTTATTGAACTCTTAAAGCGCTCGAGTCTCTTTAGGCGTTACAAAAATGATAGGTGGGGTTTTTATCTATAACCACAAAGGAGAAGTTTTGATATCAAGAATATTTCGCGACGATGTCTCAAGAAATGCTGCAGACGCTTTTCGAGTCAATGTAATTCATGCACGACAACAGGTTCGCTCACCCATTAGCATAGTAGCAAGGACAAGCTTCTTTCACGTCAAAAGAGCAAACATTTGGATATGTGCTGTTGCTCGTCGAAATGTTAATGCTGCTATGGTCTTCCAGCTGCTACACGCTCTTCTGAACCTGATGAAGGACTACTTTGGTAGAGTAACGGAGGAAAATATAAAAAATAACTTCGTTTTGATATACGAAATTCTCGATGGTAAGCTAACTTTTTTCCTGGTTATTGTTACAGAGGTGATTGATTATGGATATGGGCAGAATACAGATACAGGAATTTTGAAATCCCTCATTACTCAGGCTGGGACACGCACAGCCACTAAAGAGGAGACTGCTCAAATAACAAATCAAGTTACTGGTCAGATTGGATGGCGCCGTGAAGGTATAAAATACAGAAGGAATGAACTGTTTCTGGATATCATGGAGTCGGTCAATCTTCTTATGTCACCGCAAGGTAATTTAAACTCTATAATTCTTCCCCGTTCGTTTTGTGCTGTATTCTAAGAAATATATTGATAACAGAAAACCGTAACCTCCATTGGTTTTTTCGCAGTCTACCCTTTATTTCGTAGAAGCTTGCAAATAGTGACTCTGAAATCTGTTATGTTTAACTTCTTTCCGTCCCAACAGACTGCGGATATTCTGATTGTTAACACTTGTTTCACAAAAACAAAGAGAAACTAATCTCACAGACGCATTGGAAGCCCGGTTTTTCTAAAAAGTGACCAAACTAGTTGACCACGTAACATAAACTACTCACTAAATATGATCTTATGTGTTAGCCTTTGAGTCACACTTTGTGTGGGGGCTCTCCAATTGAAAGTTGGTGTAATATGACTCGAAACTTCAACCTAATGGTCAAGAGTCGAGTTTTCTAACTGTTATCCTTCAGCTCTGCAAAACCCCACACCTATCATGGCGTCGACATGTCATACGATGTCTGTCTCCTAGTCTCATTTGCTTCTGTTTACATTTTATTAATATACCTCTCCCGTTGTCAATATTTCTTCTAATTTCTTTTTTTGTTAGTTTCTCTATTGTGTTGGAGTAAAATGTGATAACTCAGATCATCATATACTTGTGCCGGGCTTTTTTGTTGCTTCTTACTACGTATTATGTGAGGAAATTAGGGTTATTAAATGCCAGCAACTGAAAGTTCGATTTCACAATTTACAGTTCATTTGTGTGTCCATATATGAAGTGCCCGATTCGAATCACAGATATTTCACAAACTAAGTTTTATTACCAGATGCGACTTAAAGAGGATGTCCACGGCAGTTATGTTTGAGTCCTCTTCTGCATTTTGTTTGTTTTAAGTATGTGAAACTTCAAATTGCAACTTCAACCAGTCAAAACGTAGTATTTATTGTATTTTAGACACATCAAATAAATATGCGCCACATAAATAATTCATTTGAATTGTGTGACGGCTGGAATACTGCCCGGGTGACCAAACCGAATCAGGTGGTTTTCTTAGGGGGCCACACCCAGAGCCTTTGACCTAAAAGTCTAATCCGCAAGGCAGTGGTGCAACGTTAGATGTAGTCCTATGGTAACCGGTGACCAATAATTGGTTCATACGCCATCTCTTCCTTCAGGATACTGGAGCCCATGTGGAGCATTGGTTTGGAATGAGGGTTTTCCAATTCCCCGTATCCACCAACCAGGTTAGAGCGGCAGACATTCGTCTTTCGTCCTCTTAATTTTGTGAACAACACCCACGCCACGAGAAACCAGTGATTAGGAATTCCCTGTCAGTGGCTGTATGCACATGGTCATGTGAGAGCATTTGGAGAGGGAAAGCTGATTCTCCCTACTCAACCGTACCAGGGCATTTGGGGGAAGTCACAACGTAGAAACTGACACGTTTTTACATCGGTTCAAGCTGCAATACCCCGTTAGCACAGAGATAAAATTGTCAGACCAACTCCCAGAATAGCACAGGTAGTAACAATATAATTTGTAATTAAGACTGGTCATTGAAGATACAGTTCGAGAAAGTATAAATTGGTAGTATAAAAACAAAACCTCACGAGGATTTCAGGAGCTCAGAATTTGTTAAAAGACAAAAAGTGGATAAATTACAACTTATAGTAAGAAAACCAGTTAAACTTATATTCTATCACAGTAAATTATTCAGTGTGAATACTTCACAGAATTTCAATACATTTTTACGGGATTTTGTGTTAACAACAAACACTCAGTGTAAACATTCTTATCATTTTTTAACTGCTATATAATCGACAATCAATGTATCTTGATTGATCATACTGGGTTAACATCTGAAAGTTTCCACCAAACTTTACCGTAGTTAATGGAGCATGGTAAAGAAGAGGATAGTAGTTTTCACAGTCGAAATAGCGGATCATTACCACGATGCACAAACGTATCAGTTTGAACAACGAAAACGTATATGGTTCTTTTCGTTTTTAAGTATTTTGATCCTGTTCATGTTTTATATCATTATGTTTTGTGTGAAACTTCATGGTCTTAATGTCAGACAGTTTTAAAATCTACTAGGACTGATAATTCGTGTATTCATTTGTTATTGGGCTAATAATCTAAATTTTTATTTGATCTTTCTTCTTTTTTCTTCTGATAATTGTGAAAAGACAGTTGATTAGCATCTGTGTGATTTATTCCTGTGTTTTGATTTAATATGGTGAAGATTGAGTAGTGTAACTAATTGGGTTATTCATTGAATCACAGTCTTAAACTTACATTCAGTTAATTTTGTTGGTTATCAAGTCATAATGGATGTGAATTCTAAATCGTTACACAGATCTCCACATAGTTATTAAAATGTACAGCATATTGTCTAACGGTTGTTCCGTTGTGCAGTTGCACTTGAAGGTAGCATTGGGGCTCAGTTGTTTGATCATTTTTAGTTGTTGATTTGTATCTCACCTAATTGTATGTCTCGTAATGATGTCATTTAACCGTCTCAAGTAACATCAATTTTTCAACGTATTTTTTGTGTTAGATTCAAAATATAGTTAATCCTTATTTATTAAGAATATATTTGACTCGTTGATTTGCCCAATGTGATAAGTTAGCTAAACTGGTGAAAGCTTTTCATCATAAATTTTTTTATCAGGACAAGTTTTATCTGCACATGTGGCAGGTCGAGTGATCATGAAGTCTTACTTAAGTGGTATGCCAGAATGTAAATTTGGTTTTAATGACAAAGTCAGTTTGGAAAATAAACAGCGATCTACAGCTGGTACAGAAGACAGGTAAATTGCTTTTACTATTCGTTTAATTTAAAATTTACACTTTAAACTTTTAAATGTTAATAATATCAAATATATATTTATCATTCATTTCTTAATAGCTCATGAAAAAAGTGGAGCTCTACTTATGGTTAGCAACTAAACAAACAATAACATTAGGGAAGAACTCTGATTATGCGAAATAAGGCTAACTGAACAACAAACGTGTCAGGATCGCAGTTACCGATTTAACTCTCTCTCTCTCTCTCCATATTATATAATGTTTAGGACCTTGGAAGTGGTATAGGTAATAAAAGTATAAGCAGTAATCGGAGACATTAGGGTTTGAAGATGTTATTCAAGGAGTATAGTCCAGTGAAAGAGAAAAAAAGGGACATGTTATCAATTTATTCAGAAACTGATTTGTGACTAGAACAGTCCTCTTATACATTTACTTTCTTCCTAAAATTACACTGATGACCAATCATTTATTCCTCGTAATCAAATTCACTTCAATTTTTCTATTTATCTATTGTGTTCTCTCTAAATCATTTCAGTAGTGGAGGTATTGCAATAGATGACTGTCAATTTCACCAATGTGTTAAACTGGGTCGATTCGAAACTGAACATACAATCTCTTTTATTCCACCAGACGGTGAATTCGAGTTGATGCGTTATAGAACTACTAAGGTAACTAATTAATATGATGTGAATCATTTATAGTATGTGCGTTTACGTATTCTGGTCTGAGCGACACCTTAAATATGAAATGTAATTATATTATTAGTCAGTTTGAAATACTGAATTAGGTGTTATGGATTGCGAACCTACAACCTGCTGGTTGAAATTCAAGTTCTTGAATCAGATAAAGTTGCTACATCGTTAACATCCTATTGTTAAGTATAATGTTCAGTGCTTAATGTGATAATATTTTATTCACAGAGCTTATTTACCTAGTTTATTCTCACTCTGAATTATCTTAACTTAGAACCATCTGAATAAATGAAGTAAATCAACATTCGTAATACAATTTCGGATACAAGTTGGTTTCTATGCATGGTTGGTTTCTATGTGCATAGAAATCAACATTCGCAGAATAAAATGAATTCTTTGTCTTATTTCTAGGTTTCTCATCAGCTGCAAACACCTCTAAAGTTACGAAGAGTAATCTAATTAGAAACAAGGATTTAACATACTTTATTTAGCGAATTCAAAATGGACATTTGAAATGGAGGTGAAAATCCTAATCAGTAGAAGAAGACACAATAAATGGGAATAAACATAGTTATCAGTGTCGTGTATTTTTGTGTTGAAGAAAATTCACAAAAACACAACTAATCATATAAAGTGAGGAGAAGCTACTAACCATTATAATAATAACAGGATTACATAATCACAATAGAATAAGTGACTGTTGTAATCAATCATCATAGGTGAAGTCAAGATCAAATGATTTTATGAAGTCAAGATTATATATCACAGAATTATTTGGTTATATTTATCATGACAAAGAGAAACTTATCACATTTTCCTTCTGTGCATATAAGTTAGGTTTAGAAATATCGACGCTCTGTTCACCACTTATTAAGACCCTACTGATTGCTTATATGTAAACCTTATTATCTTTCAAAAAGGTTCCCTGAAAGATGTTCAGAAACCTGGCAGAAGCTTTTGTTAGTTATCCCCTACTTATTTCATATAACTAGTTGTAATTTTGTAAGTGTCCTTCAACATGTTAATAATCATTAGTCATGTTTATTAACGTGTCTCTTGGCTCCATTTTAAACACCCAGTTCAAATTCGCTAAGTAATGTTAAATCCTTGTTTCTAATCACATTACTCTTTGTAACTTTAGAGATGTTTTCAGCTGATGAGAAGCCCATAAATAAAAGGAAGCATTTGTTTTGTTGTCCTTGCTTTATTCAAATTTATCAAGAGATCAAGTTACATGAAATTAAGATTACCTATGTCAAGCTGATACATCACTTCAGTTTCATTCAGCAACAAATTAGTACTGAGTTTGTGTACTTGGAATGAAAACGATATTGGGAACACGAATAAACTGAACTTTCGATAAAAAATAAACATTTAATAAAACGATTCAAATAAGTCAAATAATGGTTAGATAAATCGTTTGTAATTCAACCAGTGTTCGAATTATACTATCTTACAGTCTTAACACTTTTCATCTCTGTTCTCTAGCATTCTAACCAACTGCCGCGATGTTCTCATAACCACGACACCGTGTCATACACTGACCACCTTTCTGCATTACTAACACATTGTTGCCACTAGATGTCAGCAGTCATTCTGAGATAATAAAATACAGAGTAGTCTAACATCTTCAACTCGGAAAGACCAGGTTTCACAAGCATAGAGCAAAACTCCTCTCACTGACACGTAGATTCGACCTTTTACAAGCAGACTAAAATCATGAAGGCGCCGACGACGGTCCACATTGGTATAAACCTCTCTGGTTTTGACTATACGCGAGTTGATCTCATTTCTCACTCAGTCGCCATCAATTACCCAGCTACTCGTATACACGAAGTTCTCTACTAATTCTAACTGTTTATCTACCCAGAATGAGTGCAGGATTAAGGTCCTGCCAGTACTGTAAAAGTAATTTGTACTTCGAAGGTGAAAAGTATGTGCCATAGCTACGGATGTTGATTACCAACTGATTAAGTGTGGATTGCATGGCTGGGATATTATCGCACAGTAAGAAAATATCATCCGCATACTCAAAGTTGGGAAGTCTATCTACAGGTAACACATCCACACCACCATCACCTACAGCCATCAGAGCTGTTTCCGGAATGTCATCCATGGCAAAGTTGAAGAGGGATGATGAGATTGGGCAACTTTGCCTAACCTCACTGCTTGAATAAAACAATGGAGAGAAGTGGTTGTATGCCCTCACTCTACCTGAGGTGTTTGTATATAGGGTCTTTAGGATGTTAATAAAATTTTCAGCCACACCCTTCTTCAATAGACAATCCCAGAGAACAATCCTATCCAACAAATGGAAGGCGGCCCTAATTTCAAGAAATACGATTGCTGGCCTTTGATAAGTATGACGATGTTCTAACATTTGGCGGAGGGTGAAGATATGATCAATACATCCTAGACTAGAACAAGAACCAGCCTGTTCTTAGTGAGTCAATCTTTCTCGGTTTTCGAACAATCTACGAAGTATGACGGAAGCCAGTAGTTTTGATGCATTTGGAAGTGGATTTATCCCCCGATAGTTGTTACAGAAACGACCTTAACTCTTTTTAAAGATAGGGAAGACTATCGACTCATTCCATGATATTGGAACACCCTCCAGTTTTCAGACTTTTGTAAACAACTCAGTCAGTTTCTCAAACAGGAGTTCGCCATCATTTTTAAAACGGGCCGTAGGTAAAGCATCTGAGCCTGGTGGTTTGTGGCCCTGGGATTTACTTTTATTCTAAAATCTTATATACAAATACGTAGATGAATAAATGGTGTCGTGATATGAAAACGGTTTAAGACTGTCATCTGTCGGTCCATCACAATCCCCTGGTTCGTGTCGTATGCTTCTAGAAACCTTCCGAAGCCCATGACTAACTGAAATACTATAAATACCCTCTATTTTCTTTATATAAAACTAACCTTGGAGTAAAGTATTCTTTTCACATTTCACGTCTTTTCACTTGTGTTCAAGTTGTTGTGTAAATCTAATCTGGAGTTATCAGAAGAGCTTAGGAAACCTATTCGAGTGTTCACTTAGAAGACTTATCAGGACGATTATTTTGGGACCTACTTCTACTATAATTTTTTCTTACATTCCTCATATAAGTGAGAGGAACTCCTTTAACTGAAACGATTCTTTCTAGTTGTATCTTTGTATACTAAACTCCATTTCTCAATACATTCTACTGTCGTTAAGTTATTTTCACTCATTTAATTACCTTTTTTATCATATTCACTCTACTTCTTTTATCTCTTTATAATTTCATTGACTTATTCATTTGGCGCTTATTTATTCTGATATCGATTTATGCTAATATTTAAGTGTTCAAACAGATAGATAATAAAACATAAAACGTAGATGCAACTTTAAGAGTCTAATTGATGATAATTTTCAGGAATGTTTTAAACAATAAAAATGATTATGGAACAGGTGTACGATTAAAAAGATGAGGAGTATTGTGATGGTGAAGAAGATTTGTAGCTCAGATGAATGATGTTGATCGAGTTTTGTTATCTGAGCTGGATGGTTTGGTCGTGAAGCTTTCATTGTTCTTCTGAACGACATAATCGCACTTCAAGTAGAAGTGAAGTATTCAAACTTCTCTTAATATGGTTCGAACATTCCACATCTACTTGGAGTTTGTCCTATTTATTATTTTTATTTATTTGAACACAGATATTGGTACAGGGAGGCACCAGATACATATGCGTAACACAACTCTCATTAGATTTGTGCGAAAACTGAAGCAGGTGGTTTTCTTAGTGAGCCACACTCGGAGCTCTCGACCTAAAGGTCTGATTCATAAGGCAGTGGAGCAACGTTAGGAGATACAGTCCCATGGTGGCCGGTGACCAACGATTGGTTCATACGCCATTTGTTCCCTCAGGATACTGGAGCCCATGTGGAGCATTGGCTCGGAATTGGGGTTCTCCAACTCCCCTAGGTGGAGTCTCTGTTTCCATCAACCCGGTTAAAGCGCTGGACATTTGCTTTTCGTCCTCTCAATTTCGTAAACAACAGTAATGTCACGAGATTGCAGTGAGTAGGACTTCCCTGACAGAAATTATATATGCGTTGCCATGCGAGAGCATTTGAGAGGCAGGGCGTACTCTTCCCACTCTCGGCCGCACCAAGGCATTTGGGGGCTGGAGTTTGGGCTGTAGATGATAACGTCGTTCAGAAGAACAATGAAAGCTTCACAACCAAAATCATCCAGCTCAAAGAACAAAACTCTATCAAAATGAGGAGTATTCTTAAAAAGGATAAGATAACATGATATAACATCAGTACATAAATTTTATTGTACAGACTACATATATTGTGATGTAGGTGTTTCTTTTTGTTTACATCCAGAGTAAATAATAATAAATAAAAATTTGAATAAAAAAGTATAATCTGTTGTTTGTTTGTTTTGTTGCTTTATACTACTCAAAAATAATAATCTAACATTATTTTAGGAGATCAGTTTACCATTTCGTGTCATACCATTAGTTCGTGAACTTGGTAAAACTAAAATGGATGTGAAAGTAATTTTAAAAGCTAATTTTCGTCCTAATTTATTTGCACAAAAAATTGAAGTTCATATACCGACTCCAATGAATACAAGTGGTGTACAAGTTGTATGTATGAAAGGTAGAGCAAAATATAAAGCAGCTGAAAATGCTATTATTTGGAAGTGAGTTTATTTATTCTCTTTTGTTGTTGTTGTTGTTGTTGAATGTTTTAATACTTGATTCAGTAGTAATATTATTTATTGTTATGAATTTTATGTTTGTTTATATAGTCACATTTAAAAGGACTTGATTATAAAAGTTGTTTATTGCTAATTCTTTTTATATTAATTAGGCTAATGATCTGTTTAAACAATAAGACAAATGATCGGGATTCTTTTGCTTATTGGCCGATCCGTGTTACTCTGTTTATCTTTGCCCCCCCAAATGCTCTGGTTACGACCGAGAGTAGGGAGTGTCAGTCCTCCCTCTCGAAATGCTTTCACATGACCATGCGTATACAGCCAATCACAATGAAGTCCTAATCACTACCTTCTCGTCGCATTATCGGCTTTTACGAAATTGAGAGGACGAAAAGCAAATATCCGGTGCTTTAACCGGGTTGGTGGACATGGAGGATCCATTTTGGGGAGTTGGAAAACCCCAATTCCGAACCACTGCTGCGCATGGGCTCCAGAATTCCGAGGGAACAAATGACGTATGAACCAATTATTGGTCACCGGTTACCATAGGACTACATCTAACGTTGCACCACTGCCTTGCGGATTAGACTTTTAGGTCAAAGGCTCTGGGTGTGGCCCCCTAAGAAAACCACCTGATTCGGTTTGGTCACCCGGGCAGTATTCCAGCCGTCACACAATTCAAATGAATTATTTATGTGGCGCATATTTATTTGATGTGTCTAAAATACAATAAATACAACGTTTTGACTGGTTGAAGTCGCGATTTGAAGTTTCACATACTTAAAACAAACAAAATGCAGAAGAGGACTCAAACATAACTGCCGTGGACATCCTCTTTAAGTCGCATCTGGTAGTAAAACTTAGTTTGTGAAATATCTGTGATTCGAATCGGGCACTTCATATTTGGATACACACATGAACTGTAAACTGTGAAATCGAACTTTCAGTTGCTGGCATTTAATAACCCTAATTTCCCCACATAATACGTAGTAAGAAGCAACAAAAAAGCCCGGCAGAAGTATATGTTGATCTGAGTTATCACATTTTACTCCAACACAATAAAGAGAAACTGCTTTGGTTTGATCACCCGGCAGTACCATACCTCAAACACAAATCAGGTAACTTGTGTAGTACATATTTATTCGGGCCTTCTTTTTACCAATATTTGTGTTCAAATAAATAAATAGAATACATGCTTATCTTCAGTGACCAATCAGAACAAAACCAGACGATTCACCTTTTATTATTGTGTTGTCATCATAACTTAAAAACTGATTGGCTTGCATACATCAGTCACATAATCACAATACACTGTGAGTAAGAAGTTACAATGTATACATAACTGAGTTACATGTGATAAACAACTGGATTATAAGTCTATAATTAATTGACGATAATTTAAAACATATAATAAAAAGTATATTTATCAACAGCTAACTAATGAAATGAAGGCTTAAATAAGGGTAGTATAAAAATACCATAAACCAAGTAATTAATAGATTTTTTAATTTAAACTCTCAAGCAATAACACTGCTGGTCCTCACTCAAATACTGGAGCTCAAAGTTGAGTACATAAACTTGTTTTTAAAGAAAGTAGGTCATCATCAATTAACCTCACATCAAAAATATATCTTAAAGCCCGAATACATGATGTTTTTCATTGTTGTTGCATTAAGTCCTCCATGTCACTATGTTCAAACTCTTTAGTTAGGGACTGCTCAGTAACCGTAATTAACAGTTGAAGATATTGGTTGACATACGGTGAAACGATTATTTAGATTTATTTATTTGAACACATATATTAGCGTAAGTCAGTCAATAACAACGTAGAACTTCGTACGTACGTACACCACTTTGAGTTGCCATACCACATTAGCACAGAGATGTAGTGGTCGATTCAAATTCCGTAGTGGTAGAGGTAGTAAGAGTATAAGCAGTAATCGGAGACATTAGGGTTTGAAGATGTTATTCAAGGAGTATAATCCAGTGAAATAAATTTGGAAAGAAAATAAGGGACATGAAAAATCCAGAAGATTAGAATTTGGGAGAACACAAAGAGTGTGTGCACTTGCGCCATTGCAAACGATTTTGAGCCATGTCATTCAAGGTCTCTAACCATCGGTTGCTATCATCTCGCGGTCCCCAACCAGGTAGTCTACACCTACCAACATGGCTCAGTCCACTTGTCAGTGACTTCATGGACTTGTGCCATGTTTTGGTCTGGCCGCCCCTAGCTTTCTTCCAACCTACTCCTACACCGTAAAACATAGCGCGTCGAGGCAGTCGGTCGTTGGGCATACGTAACACGTCCGAGCCATCTCAACTGATAAAGTTTCACAACTTCATTAAATCGGTGTCAGAATAAATACGCGCCAAATGAATAAGTCAATGAAATTGTGAAGGGATGAAGGAAGTAGAGTAAATATGGTAAAAAAGGTAATTAAATGAGTGAAAATAAATTAACGAGAGTAGAATGTAGTGAGAAATGGTGTTTAGTTTACAAAGATACGACTAGAAAGAATCGTTCCAGTTAAAGGAATTCCTTTCACTATTATGAAAAATGTAAGCGAAAACTATGATAGGATCGTCATTGCCTTCTATTCTGATTAATGTCTGATAACGTTTCAAACTTTTGAGTTGCTCTGTCTTTGAGGACCCGAATCAGCGAATTGTGATGGACCGATAGATGACAGTCCTATACGGCATTATTCCATCCCTCATTGTCATACGATGAATTGATCATTTCTTTACTTTTTCTAACCAGTCTTATCGTCCATCTGGAAGTCTCTGGAAAGGCATTGATATAACATGTTGAAGCACCCAAAGCTGGTGTTGTAAGATAGTAACACCAACTGAATTGTCGTTAACCTACCCAAACACGTATTTCGGAACCTCTGTGTTATTAACCTGGTGTTGCAACTGGATGGGAGCAATCCTTCAAAAACAACAAGGATCAAACTCAGACAGTTCCTTAAAATTCCCAACTCAGAGAGACTAGGTTTCGAAAGCATAGAGCAAGACTGCTCTTGTCGATGCATTGTAGATCCGACCTTTTACAGCCTGATTAACATTACGAAGGCGCTGAAAATAGTCCAGATTGGCACAAGCCTCTCTGGTTTTGACTATACGTGAGTTTTCAATTACATCGTCATCAGGCTTTACTCTAACATACATGAATATTTATACGAAAATTTTTAAACCAATCAAGGCAATATGAGTCAATAATCACAATATACGTGAGTTGACCTCATCCCTAACTCAACCTCCAGCAATTACTCAGCTACCGATTGACACGAAATTCTCTACTACTTCTAACTGTTGACTACCCACAGTGAGTACATGATCAAGGTCCTGCGAGTGTGAAGCACATGCCAGAACTACGGATATTGATTGTCAACTGATTAAGTGAGGATTATGTGGTCTGATCACGTTACACAGTAAGACTATCTTCTGCGCACACAGAATCAAAAAGCCTTTCTCCAAGTAATAAATCCACACTACAATTACTTGCTTCCATCAGATCAGCTTTCAAAATCTCACCCAATCACAGTTAACCTCAGTTGCCTTCATTCTTTATGTTCTTTAATTTCTGAATTGGATATTATTGATAACTTTATTCTCCCATCTCGTGTATTCTGTTTGAAAAATATCTGTAGTGTTTATATCAAATAATTTCATTAGATTCAACATATATTGAAATATGACATAATTTGATAAAAAGGGAGATGATGCATGTAAATTTAATGATTAGTTAAAGTTACCTCATTTGGATAACCTGAGATCTCATACGATCAGTCAATGTCGAAAATGATCGAACTTTGAATGAATTTCTTTGGCGAACTCATTTAAATGTCATGTTCCTAGTAGGATGGGCAAGGAGTAGTAGTAACGAGTTATAACTTCTACTATATGTTTATATTTTTTTAGGATTAGACGAATATCTGGCATGAAAGATTGTCAATTATCTGCGGAAATTGAGTTATTACAAGCTTCAGATAAACAAAAACGTTGGATGCGTCCACCGATTTCTATGAATTTCGAGGTTCGTTTATCATTTTTCATGTTACTATTATTATAATCCTTATGTATAGTAACTTTCTAAGCGCCGTTTCGTGTAGATCTGATCGTTGAGTACTTATTATCACAACAAGAAGTGACATTGTTTAGAGTCAGCCACAGTATCATCGATGCATTCACCGTTTATTTGTCTTCCTCGAGATCCAGTATTTCCATATATTTTTTTACTCAGTCTTCTGTAGCCATATTCTCAATGTTTAGCTTTGCTCATTCATAATTGCTACTACGATTATTTTGACTCTTGTTATACAGTTACATCCAGCTGATGATTCCCAAATAGGATGAAACGTAAATCCTGAATTCCACTGCTAGCCGCCATCTGCCTTTGGTTATAATGTCTGTTGTTGTCCCGCAGATCTTACCTTGTCGTGCCGGTACAGTGTAGGAAATTGGACTAAAACACATTGGTCCCAAGCTCTACGCCGATTATGAATGATCGACAACAATCGTTGGAAACTAAAAAAACATAGTAGCACTAGTAGATAGGCTTAATAAATGATGATGTGGAATAGTGACTTAGTTGTTTAAACATTCGGTTTTCAGTCAGTAGATTGGAGTTTCGGGCACGGAGGATCCACCTAGGGGAAGTGGAAAACCCCAATTTCGAACCAATGCTCCACATGGGCTCCGGTATCCTGAGGGAACAAATGGCGTATGAACCAGTTATTGGTCACCGATTACCGTGGGGCTGCATCTCCTTATGTTGCCCCACTGCCTTGTCGATCAAATTTTTAGGTCAAAAGCTCTGGACGTGACTTCCTAAGAATACCACCTGCTTTGGTTTGGGCATTCGGGCAATATTATAACCCACACACAAATCAAGTGACTTGTGTGGCGCTTCTCTGTAACAATATTTATGTGTTCAAACTAATAAATAGATAAACTTGGCAGCTCTCCCCATCGAATTCACTTAGTGGGATAATATCACTAGGCCCCATATAACTAAAGTGTGACTCAAAGATGAGTATTTAAACCTGTACCTTGGCAAATGAATAAATCATATCTAATAAATTTGGGATCATTATCATCATAATCATCATCCATGTATGTATTACGATTATCTAGGGTTAAGCGACTTAAAACGTTCTACTCGTCTGTAAGTCTCTAGACCCGCAATCTGAGTTCGTAATTATGGAATTATATTAATATTAATGAAATGTATATCTTATTTACTTCGTACATATTCTGTCAGCGCATCCCGTTAATAACAACATGCGTATAAGAAGTCGAATATGAAAATATTTATAGAACATATATTTTAGACATTCATTCATACAGACGAATGATAAGAGATGAGGTCTGTGATACTACCCGGGTGCCAAAACCGAAGCAGATAGTTTTCTTAGGAGAACACACCCGGAGCCTTCGACGTATAGGTCTGACCAACGAGGTAGTGGAGCAACGTCAGGAGATGCGGTCCCATGGTAAACAGTGACCAACAATAGGTTCGTACGCCATTTGTTTCCTTAGAATCCTGGAGCTCATGTGCACCATTGGTTTGGAATGAGGGTTTTCCAACTCCCCTAGGTGGATCCTCCATATCCACCAACCAGATTAAAGCCCCGGACATTCGACTTTCATCCTTTCAATTTCGTAAACAACATTAATGCTACGAAAAGGCAGTGATTAGGAATTCCCTATCAGTAGCTGTATACGCATGGTCGTGTAAGAGCATTTCGGGAGGGAGGACTGATTCTCTCCACTTTCGGTCGTACCAGGGCATTTTGGGGCATACTTAATGTTACACATGAATAATTGGCAAAGTCTCACATATATATAGATGATATGGGATAAATAGAACAATTTATTTACCCAAAGGTGTGTGATAATATATATTTGCTACAAGTCACATTGATTGTATGATGTCAAATAGCAACAGAAAAAATAAGTGAGTACAATTATTTACTTGTTGATTTTATTGATTTTTTTTATAAATTTTAAAAACGATTGATACTCATTAATTATATATACCTTCATGCTCTCCCCTCTCCCCCCTAAAAAACAACATGCTCTTATCAATGTGAATGGTAATTATAATGATATTAGGTACCATTTGCACCGTCTGGATTTAAAGTTCGTTTCTTAAAGGTGTTCGAATCTAAATTGAATTATTCAGATCATGATGTAGTGAAATGGGTTCGCTATATTGGTAAAAGTGGCTTGTATGAAACAAGATGTTAAAGAGACAATCTTCTTTGTTTGTATTTTTCAAATTTATCAGCTTTTTATCTTCACTTCAACAAATCAACTTCTATACTACTCTTTATTTAAATGAATGATTATAACTGTTTTGTTTATTCAACATTGCGAGAAATTCAATCATATATATATAGACACATATACAAATACAAAATTTGGCATAATAACCAACTATGCACAGTTTCCATTCAATTCAAATGCTTATCTTTTTCATCTGATAAAGATCTTCAATCTGCTAACCACCCTTACATTTGCTTACTACACATGTGTAAACGTATATTTGTATGTTCATCATTCAATATAGTGATAGGTATACAATTGTATAAACAATGATGAACATAATGGTAAGAATTCGTTTGTGCATTTCTATGTTCGATCCCGTGTTTATTATTCAATTATCCTTTGATTCTTTCAACATAAATATGTCCTTGTGTACTTTTTTTCCCCATCTAAAATTAATGGTTATATTAATTGTTATTGTAAGCTATTGTTTTGTCGATTATTTTGCCTGATCATTCCATCTATTCATGATTTTGCTTTGTACCATTTCATTCCTACATATTGTTTATAAACTTTCCCTATCTGTCCTCTATTGTTTCACTTCGTATTCTCTATTTCAATAATTACTACTACTATTACTACTAGTACTACTTACAATTGATTAGAAATCTCAAGTAATATCTATTTACATTTTGTTTTCATTCTTATGATTTTTATTGTTTTTGTTCACATTATCTCTCTCTACACTCTTTATCTAATCATATTTAGCATTTTATTAGTTATTTCATCATACTACCAATAAACCAAAATAAATTAACAGTAATATCTTGCTATTATTTCATTTTGTATACTAGTGATTTAATTAAATTTGTTTTTAATGTGTGAAAGTAACCTTTTTAAACTTGAACTTTTTGGATATGTTTTGTGAGGCATAAGATCTGCTCTGCTTTACATTTTTGCAAATTTCGTATTGTTAGATGGTTAGTGTAGTAAGTTGAACAGAACCTTTAAACATGGAGTGTCTACTGACTGGTATTCGTCAACCATGTTTATTCCCAAAACTTATGAATATGATGTTATGTAAAGGATACGAGCTTGCGTCACCCGTTGGCACTTTTAGGTCAAATGTTTAGGTCCTGAACCATTTGCGTCTGTTGGGACAGTCGGGTAGCATCACAATCCCCCCGCACACACATGTAAATATGACTTATAGGAAAGTACACGAATCTGTACTTGGTGATGTAGTTAAATCCCAATTAGAAATGTCATGGTTTGTTTATTCAGGTTGGGAACAACTTTAAGTACGGTGGGGCGAATGACTGACGTCATGCTATTTAATCTATGGTATTAGTCGACTTCTTGATCCGTCATAGCTTAATAATCATCATTCGATAATCATAAAAATGACGCAATATCGATGGAAGAGTTGGTGAGCTTAACATTGCAACGTAAGGTATCCCTTCTAACATAGGGTCTATTTATCTATACCATACCTTTTTATAGTTCTTCCACAGTGATGGACATACTTGTCACTCACATGACTTCCTTGTGTCTCAATCGAAAGTTTATAAAAGTGAGAATTTGAGTTACTTATCTGTCTAATTAGTTGGTCAGTCATATGCGACAGAGGACGTAGCACATTTGTTTATTGGTTTAAGTTGTCACAACATATCGCAACAAGATAACAATCATTAAGTCATGTTAATCAACGTACCCAGCCACTGTTTATATCGTGCGGACCCCAACCAGATTATATGCAGCTCAGGCAGTGAGTTGGGGTAGTGTACAATTTGTTATGATGATTAGGAGTATTTAAATTATAGTATGAACTAAGAATCCCAGAAATAACGTAATCGAATCAAGAAGTACTAGATAAGCACTAACAAGTGTACTGTATTCGGAATTCTAAGTCAAGCATTCAATAAGTATACAGGGATTATTAGTTCATTCAAACACCACAGTTGTGTAATTGAGATACTGAAAATAACTAACTAGAACTTCTGTCTTTGAAACCACTTGTCAGTAGTATCAGTGGGTTAAAAATGAGTGATTTCTAACGTTGGGACCCTAAACCGCAATCCGACAGGTGACAACTGAGCTATCCAAGAGAGAGATGACTGTGCATAGGTATAACTCACACGTCAATTGTATATTGAATAGTTGGTCGATCCTACCTGCCTAGTGTGTGTAAAGGACTAGATAAGCTGATCACTTTAATTGTTGGTGGGCCAACGTCGATTGAGGTGTCTGTAGGTGTCGCTTGTATATTGGATGGGCTCAGTGGGGCTGGTCGGTCCAAGAGTTCCTTAAGGTGCTCTACTCACCTGTTTCGTTGTGCTCTAGTGTTGGTGATTGCTTTCCTTTTCACTGGTCGTTCTGGTTTATGATAATTTTCAGCGAGTTTCTTTGTTGTGTCGAACAACTGTCTCATGTTTCTTCGATTGCAGCCTTTTCCGCCGTCATTGCTGGACCTTCCATATATTTACGTTTTTCGACTCTCTGCTGCTCTCTACTTGTTTGTTCGCTTCTGTGTATTCAGCTTGCGCCTTGGTTTTCTCTGCCTTTGTTTGGCTGATTCCGATTGCTACCTTCTTGTTCTTTTCTTAAATATTATCCAGTGTATCAGCAGTGATCCATTCCTTGTGGTGGTGCTTCTTGTGGCCCAGAACCTCATGACATCTTGAAGCGACTGCTCCTATGATCTTTTTCTTAAATTTGTTGTGTTTATCAGTATGCCATGCGATGTTGTCAGCCCCGTTGTCCAATGTTCCTGAGTTTCAATTTCATCTTGGAGACCAGCAAGTAATGATCTGAGGCTATATCAGCTGCTCTCTTGATCTGCACGTCCTCCACTGTCCTCCAGAAACTTTTGTTCATGTAGATAAAGTCGGTTTGGTTTTGTGTAGTGTGGTCCGTTGAAGTCCATGTGGCAATATAGTTCCGACTATGACTAGCTTGTTGGAGGCATATTGGTTTGCAAAACTTTGACAGCAGCTGCGTTGCGATGCGTAGTTTTTTTCAAGTTAAAACTTATTATTACTCCTAACTCTATGTTCTTTAACGCGAGGAAGTGTTCTATCAATAGTTTAATCATAAATATTACCGAGTCCGATGACCATGAGCACAGTCTTTCTAGAGTTAAATTTTAAGCCTCAACTTCGAGCTCATATAACTTACAGTAGGCGTCGATTGACTATGATCACCACTACAGAAGATTAAGTTGCAGATATTATGTTTGATCCTTTCGTATGCCAAAATCAGAAGGCAGTCGACGGTTGTAATAAGATATATTTGTCGAAATAATACCGAGATCGCGTCAAAGTTTACAAACGGAACTACTAAGCGTACGCGAGTGCATGCACCATCACAGTCAACGGAAGAATGTATGTACACTTAAACAAACGAGTACAGTAAAACAATCACTGGTAAAGTTGGTTATGATAATAATTGTTTCCATCATACCAATTGCATTCTCTTCATAAAATTAGGTCACCACAATTTAAGTCAGCTAAGAGATAAAAATATTCAGCATCACTTCTTATTGTTCTCTAGATTTTTACATCATGCTCAAACAATAATGTTGACTATTGTAGCAACACTGGTAACGCATTAACGTGGAGAAGGAATAATAGAGAGCCTAAGGTAAAGCCTTGGGGTAAACTACTTCTGACCGGCTTCTAATCGCATAGCGTTCCATTGACCCTCACTCTCTGTCTTCGATCACATAAGAAGTTTCATATCCAATTATGTACATCACCTATTATCCTGAAGGTCGAGAGCTTCTGCATAAGACGTAAGTGTGAAATTTTATCAAATGCTTTGCTGAAATCTATGAATGTCACACTGACAGACAGACTGTTATCTAAGGCTGATTTTCAATCCTCTCTCGCAATAAGTATGTTAGTCAAGCATGAACGCTTGGAAAGAAAGCTACATTTCGTAAGGTCGAATGAATGAATTATTAAGAAATACTTATGTGTTTATCAACCAGCAAACCCAGTTCTGTCCTTAAAAGCATCCTTTTACTACATACGGAAGTAAGTTAAACGAAAGCTTTAATCTTCATATAACCATTAGAACCAATCGGCCTACTGACCTTGGCGGCTAATTTTGTGTTTGCGTTGCTTAACATGTCTTATGATATCGATGACTCTTTATACAGGTTTGATCTCCTGTAAAATGATATTTATTTTGCAGCCGTCAAAGATGCGTTCTAGGGGAAAATGCAATGAAAAGAATGTGTAAATCTAAAGTATTTTTACATGGCTTGGGAGGTGTTGGAATAGAAATAGGTATATTATTTTATTAGTAATTGCATCTCAAATAGCGAAAAATCTAGTTCTGGCTGGAGTTGGCGAACTTATAATTCAGGACCGATCTTTATGTTCCAAACAGGATTTAGGGACTCAATTTTACGTGGATGAATATAGTGTTAAAGGTTCGAAAACTAGGTAAATTTTTGACTGATCGTTTTAATTTTTCTTGGTTTTATTTACTATCGAAAATTCACGGGTAAACTTATGACACTTGAATCCACCAACGTAGGATACTCTTAAACTTGCTCACCTAATACTTTCGATAGCGACTGAAATAACTTACGTTTGTTGTTTTAGTTCGTATATGGGTCTACAAGATAACATTATTGAACGACATTCCAAAAGCCACATACTTATAACAAATTTTGCTTATAAAACTTTGTGAGAGGCGTGACTGTCATTCATACATCTCTAATAAAATAAATTACCTGACAGTTATTTTTTTATGAAATATAAAAGAACCAGTTCCCAATTTTTTGCGTGAGGTACAGAGTTTTTACGAGGTTGAGCCAGAATAACGTTTTTGTATTCATATGTCAGGCAACCTATTTTCGGAATCAATATTTAATGTTAAGCCAAGTGTATGGTCAAACTCTGGGTTCAAATCACAAAATGAAGGAAAGGCAAAACATAAAGAAATGTCAATTATTTGTTCAGTTAAACATAGAATCAGAAAAAGAGATGTGGCAAATAAAGTCTCCAATTTTTAATGTTTCCAATCCAAAGTGAACGACACGCCAGCTAAATCATCCAAATAAACTAGTACTTTTGGCTTTAAGTTTAATGCTTTATGTAGTTTGCCATTAATAACACTGAATGAAACAGTGGCTCGATTCCTAAGGCATTCGATTCAGTCACTAAGTCGCGGATTCAACCTTCGCTCCATTTATTTTGGTTTAGGCGACCAGATAGTATCATGAATCCCTCAAACATAGAGTGTGATTCGCAGTCAAATACACCTGGTGAATTAAAAACAAGTAATTATCAATGTTTTTCCTTTCATTTGTCTCATTATCTTAAATATTTGATTTGGTTGCAGATTTGAAATCTGCTTCGGTTAACAGTGTTACTTTCTTTTATTTCTGTTTATCTTCTTCAAACGTTCAGAGCTGAAGCAAGTCTTGATCGTCTAACGGCTTTAAATCCCTATGTTCGTATTACTTTAGAAACGGGAGATGTGACGGATATTCGTTGCCCTCTTTCTGAACCTGCTAATAAGAATATCTTAATGCCATTAGTCGACGAAGGTTTATCTACGAAAGTCGATGTAAGATTTTTGGTTTTATTTTTCCTATATAAAAAACTGTAAAATTGGTCACGAAAAAGCCTTTCTTAGCGCTATTCTATTTTATGATGCTATTGCATACACATTACTGTCGTCAGAACTAATTTGTACTCCATCAGTCACCTTAGAAAGCGTTGTATCGTTTAAATAATTGAGGCAGAATTCAAGAAGTTCCAAATTCGGACAGATTAGCTAATTTGTGCCTAGTTTTCAGTGATACTTTAGCTGGTGTCAGTTTGTTATTTGTATGAAATATTTTGGTGCCTGTCCGTACCAATAATTATGTTTCGAATAAAAGAAGAATCTTATTCCTTGTGTATATGATTTAAATTAACTGTAAATTTGCTACTGAAATAATTAGTTTCATCAATTTCTTTCCTAGTGTTTGATACTCACGCAATGTTCACTTCAAAAAGCTACATTGTTAGATCTATTCTGTAGAGCATATGATATTAAGGTGAGTTAACTGTTATTCCTTATTTTTAAAAAGTTAAATGTTTATTCCGTAGTTACCAATAGCTTTATTGTTTGTCATTGCATTTTAGCACCGTCTACAAAGAGTGTTATGTCGTTATGATAGGGTACAAGCAATTGCCCTTCAGTATTCTGTGGTTACCCTCTAGGTTGACATAGCTTCCAATGCTAATAGTCTCTCATTCATGTTCCTCTAGGAAACATCCTTCCAAGGTCAAGATGTAGTTACTCAATAAGTTTCAATCGCTTGTGAACCCGTAACAAAACTTGAGTTAATCTGGTGCATATACAATCGTCTGTAGCTTACTGGATCCGAAAAAGCTGAAACTAACAAACCTCTTACAATTGGACTCGGAAACAGAAATAGGGACAGTGATAGGTAACAATAAACTCGTTAATGAAGATCAAGTATTAAATATTTCTAGAAGAGGTAAAGTAAATAGTAAAAGGATCGCTTTAAGTAACAGTTCAAGTGGCCTCTAGCTACTCTAATTACCTTTTACGTATCAGCAACCTAAATGGTAGGTTTACATCGTACCCATACTTTTCAGCGTAGTTGAAAGGGTCATAATTAAGAGATATTAGCTTCTCCAAAGCTATTCGAAAATGATGATCCAGTTGTATCATTTAGGTTGACAGATTGTAAACAGAATTCGAGAGCTGGATTTGACTTTATCTGACTCACGACGCTCGCTGCTTTTCATATACTTATCATAGTCAGTTAGTTTATTTCATTGTATCAGAGTGTAAGTTTTTCACCGTTATAATCTGAACCCAAAGTGTTTACGATGAATCTCAACCTATAAGCTACTTCTAATTACCTTCAATTCTGTTTTATTTTCCTTCCCAGTTCATCTATACAGATATATATGGTACATTTGGAAATTTATTTTGTGATTTTGGCTCTGATTTTACTGTTTTAACACAAGATGACGAACCATGTAGAGAATTTTTTATTGGAAAAATTGAAAAGGTAATTATGTCACAATAAAATAGTAGACGTTAGCACAACTATGTATTATTCCAAGCATTTATATATTATCTGGGCTATAACTTACTCATTTTCAGTAATATGTTCCTTTTTTTAGTATTTCAAGCATTGACAATGATTCTTGCTCATAAATGTTTCTGTGACACCCATGAACATAAAGCATAATAAAAATGTTCTTTGAGACCTTACTTGTTGAAACCTAATTAGAAATAGTGAAGGAGCTTAAAAAGTCGTTCGTTTACTCACTATGAAAATGTGTTTAATTAACTGACTAGTCTTCTTATTTCATTCAATTCCAGTTCTGTTGAATATCCGCCCAATAGTTTAATAGTTACACGTTCGAGCGAAATACCAACGTTATTGAAATTAATGAAGGTCATGGTAAGGCAGTGTAATTTTTTCATCGAAATCAGTCCTATTGAGTAACATGTACAGAAACGAGCACGAAGATTGTGAACATTTAAATATCTTAAGCTTACTAAATATCTTGCAAATGCATATTTTCATTATTATTCTTAACTACTTAATAATAAAGTTAGTAACATAAATGAACGAACTAAAACAAAAACGAATGAGCGTCATTTTGTACGGCAAATTGTAAATATAAAGGTGACGAACTTGTCACACAACTTGAAGGCTCTGGACTCAATTTTTTCAAGAATCAATGGTTCACAATTTTTAACAGCTCAGAACTAGGATAAAATAGCTGTTCAGTGTTCCTTGTTTTTCACTGGTTTCCTATCTGATGTCATCCGTGATTCGCACCCTCTTCACATTGAACCACAGAACCATAGTAATATTGCTCGCATGTGCTGGGATCACCGAATGGTAGGTAATAGTGAGGCTAGACGCACGATATTAGGGAATGGTGGTAAATCAGTTGGTGAGGTTGTGAATCTTCATCAACTGAAATGGTCGGACCACGTATTACGCATGCCCCATCACCGATTACCACGACGCGCAATGCTAACCGGTGTAGGGGATAGTTGGAAGAAAGTTAGGGCTGACCAAACCAAAACGTGGCATCAATGCTTGAAGACACTATCTTCTAGTCTGAGCCATGTTGGTAGATGCAGACTACTCAGTTGGGGTCCGCGTGATTATCATAACCAATGGTTGGAGACTCTTGGTGATATGGCCCAGATTCGATCACGATGGCGTAGGAGTATACACTCTTTGTCTTCCCTTAAACTAAGAGATTAAAATCACTCCATATCTTTCTCTCTACGAACTAATTCTTTCTTCCTGTACTATATTCTTATATGCAATCTTTCTTTCATATATTACCACTACTGAATAAACTACTTCTATGAATTGGGTGTTCATCTTGTTGTGTTAATGAGGTATGACAACTTGGACTAATGCATATATGTGCCTGTTCCTACGTTGTAGCTGACTGACTGACATTGAACTAATCTCCGAAATCCACTCAAATAAACGTAGACAAATGTTCATTATATTCTTTTTATTTAGATAAACGATGAGGAATTATTGATTACAGTTCTTGGTGATCGTCGTCATCATTTAGAAAATAATGATGTAATTCGATTCACTGAACTTAAAAATTTACCAGTGCTCAATGAAAGAGAATTTCCTATCCGAGGTATGCGGTATTCTAAGATTTTTCGTTACATTTTGTCGTCCAATACTAATGAGATATATATAGTTTGGCATTTTGATGATTCTAGTTCCACGTATTATCAAAGGTAGCTAATCAATCACATGACATTTTGTTATGTTATGTGATATACCATATGTTCTTAAACTGTTATCTATCCTAGATCATTACTTTAAATCCCTTTCCTGTTTTCCTTTCTATTCATTATAGTAAAGTCACCTTCAGAGTTGATTATCAAAACGTCTATAAAAGACACCCAGTTTCCTTATTCAGATGGTGGTATTGTGCTTCAAGTTAAAAAGCCACAAGTATATACTTTTGTAAGTTAATTTATCGTAGCTTTATCTATTTTTTAGTGTTGAAAAATTATACTACTTATTAAGTGATGATATTACAATAATAAATGTTGATAGTTTATCGTTTCAGAAAGGGGGTTTTGTGGAGATTTTAATAATTTTATAGTTGAATTCATAAGTCAATGTATGCTAGATCACTAATGAAAACCTGGAAACACTGAACGGCCATTTCATCCTAGTGTGAGACTCTAGTGAGAAGCAGTGACCAGTAAAGTTTATTCTTTATTTATAAAAGTTCTTGATTGGATAATTTTGTCTTTGGAATGATATTTCTGCTGGAATTTCAATCTATTTCATTGTTTAAAAATGCCGAAACTTTAAACTCATTCAGTTATCTAATTGTGATATGAGTTACGGCTGTGAATGTACTATCACTTCATATATTCATTTAAACTATAAATAACCACAAAGTGAAGCCTAATTAATCTTAGTACCGATATTGATATGTTTTGTTGTTTGAATGCTACTTGTTATAACTAGTCGTCGCTGATTGTTGTGTCGGAAACACTTATCACTTATACTCGAAACAAGGGAACTCTGCAATTTCCATGTCACGGAAGTAAGAACACAAACTGGTATAAGTGATGATTTATTAACCCCAAAACACGTCGACAACGACGACTAAGACAACCCTAGTCGAAAATGCACTCATTTATATATTGATTGTATACACAGTTTGATTAATAATTAAGATGAAATCACATATTCAATTATAACAAATCACATACTGAGCATAGTTCATGTCAATGGAATACAAGAATATCGTCTATTATACAGAATAGAATATCATACGAGAAAAGAAAACAAATACTACACTAAATGATCATTACATTGAATCAAAACCGAAGTAATCTTAAACTAAACTCATAATGAGTAAATTAATCAAAAAATTGACTTTTCTTCCCATCATATCATCTCCCCTTCTTTTTTTTGAAGACTCAAAATTTAGATCCTGACTTTACCCCCTCCCTCCACACGAAACAATGTTGAATCTTGATGTACCCACGTTACTAAGAATGTGACTTTATTGACCTGAACTGTTTTACCATTACTATCACCTTTATTATAGATGTGTATTGTAGCGTGTGGGTATACACAGAGGTTGATGAATCGTTTTGTCACCCCTGGACATTCCTTATTACATCACGAGATGTATCATTTACCTCGTTAAATATGTCTATAATTTTTGAATGCGATCCCGGATTTGATTGTTTGAGCATGTGTTCCTTCAATGCAATTATGATCAGTAATTCAGATTTAATGAACACATCTTCATTAAACTGAAGCATTGATTTTACTTCTACGACTGAAATTGTCATGTTCTTACACCAGTAACCGCGTCGTTTGTTGCAATAGCGACTTGATAAATAAAAGTAGAAGTGTGTTTATAACTAAGGAAAGAGGATTTATGTTACATTAAACTGACAAGTGAGTTATAACTGGAACTAGACAGTTATATTGAAAACGGGAACTTATAAATTGACTCTACCAGTGATTGTTGTGGTTTCCGTTTTTTCAAAATTTCCGTCGCCAAATTGTTCTTGCTTTCTTTTTTTCTGAAACACCCCGTCGCCACTGATATGTCTTGTCGATTGACTTTTCTTCCCATCATATCAGATATAAAAAGGCTAAATAAGATCATTAAACTTAATTTTTCAAAGAATATTTTACATTTTTATCCCCTATCATCTTATTCATGAAACCTATTGTTAAAGCGCATCGGAAAGTTCATCATCTTACTCGAAAAGCCCTGTTGTGGTTGTATGTTTTGACCTTTTCCCGTAGATGTTTTAATGATTGTGCTCACGTGATTAGGGTGCTTCTGCACAGGTAAATTGACAAAAGTGAATATTTGACATAACTTATAGGTATAAACGATTCGTTTTGGGGAGTTTAAAAACTAATTCCAAACCAGTGTTTTACGTGAGCTCCAGGATCTTGGATGAGCAAGTGTCATACGAACTTCCTTTGAACATGAGCTACAGCCCAGAAATACCCTGGTACAACCGAGAGTGGGGAGAGTCAACTCTCCCTCTTGAAATGCTCTCACATGGCCACGTGCATACAACCACTGCCTTCTTGTGGCGGGGGTGTTGTTTATGAAATAAAGAAGAAGAAAAGTAAATGTTCAGCGCTTAAATGGTGCTAATGGGTACGGAAATCCCACCCAGAGAAGTTTGGGCTCCAGGACTTTGAGAAAATAAGTGGCGTATGAACCTACTGTTGGTCACAGGTTACTATAGAACTTCACCTCCTAACATTGCTCCACTATCTTGTGCATTAGATCTGTAGGTCAAAGGTTCAGGGTGTGACCTCCTAAGAGAACTTCCTGTTTCGGTTTGGGTACCCAGGCAGTATCCGAGCCCAGGTCAGGTTTCAAACCTTCAGACAAATAACCAAGACTTCAATGCTACAGCTGTTAAACAATTGTCTGTTTACCATTTACCATTTTATTTAGTTATTTCAGTTTGGCTAACCTTTTTTAACACTTTTGTTTAGGAAACTATGCTCGAACAACTTAAATCTCCTAAATTAATGTGTGTGGATTTCAGTGAACCTGAGGTTAGTGAAAAAATTGGCTGAAGTTATTTTCTACTTTCTCTCTCTCTCTCTCTCACTCACTCACTCACTAATAATTAATCATTATTGTATTAAATTCCATCTCACCCTACTGATGTTGTAGGGTGCAGCAACCTAATCCAATGAACATTTGTTCCAGGTTCTATGTTGATTATATCTGATTGACTAACTAAATTGCATTATTTAGGCTGTGTATAGTAATTCTGTGTTATGTGTTACTTATATTGACATAAGTAGTATATGATGTTAGTCGTAAACAGAAGGTCTGGCAGCTGAGAGACAAGAGGATCGAACAGTAAAGAATGAAGACAGGATGCAATTTGTATGAAAATGCAAGAACAATGAGGTCTGAGTCATTTTGAGACAATCGATGGACATTTTTCAAATTAAGTATTTACTTTATGATTGTTCTATTTTATTAACAAGTCCTGTAATGTTGTGTCGAATACATTCGATTGTCCCCCACTGGTGTTCGTGTTCACTACAATACCAGTTAAACTAATTTTTCTCAATTAACTAATCAATTGTAAACAATGTTGTATCTGACATAAAAGTTTATCAATCATCAAAAAATGAAACTAACATAGTTAATAGAAAAAGAGTCGAACTAAAAAAAGTAAACATATATAAAGTATATTTCAATAGTTGAGATCATGAGTCAATTGGAGCTAGACAACCATGGAAAACCTGAGAGCACTAAACATCCGTTTCGTTCTATTGTGGGACTCCTCAGCAGTGCGCATCCACGACTCCACCTCGCGAGAGTTGAACCCAGGACCTCTCAGACTCACGTTCAAATGCTTAACCTCTACACCACTGAGTCAATATTCAATGGTGTTAATATCTAACTTCAACTAATCTACGAAATTGAGCGACACATCCACTATTGTTTACAGTGTGTTACTATCTCACAACAGACGCTGTTGCGCTTCATTTGTCACTGCTTCTCACTAGAGCTCCAGGAAATACCTGTTAAAGCCATTCACTAGTGAGCATATATTGATTAGTATCACAAAGGGTTTTTGTGGATTTTATAGTAAGTTTATTATGTAAGTATAATTTGAAAAGTTCAATGAAATTAAGGTAATCGAAATATGAAATGATATTAACATTCAAAATGTAGAAAAAACACATGAGTTAAGATAGTGGCGAATATTAACAGTTCAGGAAGATGATTTTAATAGAGATACGTTCTTTAAACTGGATGGTTGGATTATGAAACTTTCATTGTTGTTCTAGACAATATCATCAGTACAAACTTCAGATCGAAGTGTGCTGTGAGGATTTCTTCCTTTATGATTAAAACTTGTCTTTTTTTCAACATTAAATTTGATTAGTTTTTGTTAAAAGTTTTCTCGTTACTGTCTCGGTATTTTGATTATCTTCCATCTTGAAGTTAAGATGGTTTGTAATTTTTCGAACTGATTGGTAATTTGGATAGATTTAGATGTGATCATTGATCCGAGTGTCAAGATTCTGAAAATTCGTTGGTCTTCTTTAGATTACCTCTGTCTAAGGGAGACTACCCTTAAGTTCGATGGTCTCCCAATCCTGGACATTGAACACAACTTGCCGCCTCTCGAATGTACCCTGTTTATACTGCACTCGAAAAACTAGTTGCTATGGTGCAGTCTAGTCAATTTTACTATAAGGAGTGATACATATAGATATCGGGTGCCTATAAAGTTTTTAGTTTCAAGCCGCGAAATTTCCCCAAACAAACTTATGTCCACAATTGTCTACGTACATTGATGTAAATGAAGGCACCTCGTAGTGTTTCATAGGTAGTTTGTGTTCTTATAGATAGAGATGAAAAGGACACCCCCTGTGTCTGCTGTTTCTTGTAGTTGGATCAGCTTATTTTATAGATGTTGTTCAGCTTTCCTTTTTTGTCATGTTATCTTTTGATTTGCACAAGATTGATCAAAGCGATTTTACTGGATTATGGATTCCAAATTGTCTCAATAATCTAGTTGTAACTTCTGAAGTATCTTTCTCATCCATCAGGATTGGCCGACCTCTTCAACTTTGTTTGTATGAACACCAATTACATATCAAAAACTATGATATATCTTTATTTATATCAATGTACGTAGACAATTGTGGACACAAGTTTGTTTGAGGAAATTTCGAAATCTTAGACAAAGATAATCTAAAGAAGACCAATGAATTTTCAGAAGCTTACTTGTCACACGGGTCAATTAGTAATCAGTCGTCTTACCGAAATTTATCCAATTTCAAAAGAACGCATCAACACATATAAAGTCAAGAAGAGGAGACAGTCAAGTTATTAAAATATTTTGAGTGTAGTGTTTTATATAGGCTTTTCCATCATCTTCAGATCAGGAGAGTTAGTGGGGTATTTAAACCTTTCTTCAGTTGACGAAGCGGTAATGAGGTAGTATAAAGAAACTAGTTAACAGTGTGTGTTGAATGATTTCCTACCTACTGACTGTCCATTCGATGATAATGTACGTTAAAATTTATTCTATTAGCTTAGATAGTTCATTTTGTCTTGTTTACTGGTTACAGAATTAAAACATACGACTTTCAACTAGTTGACCGCTTGTTTCAACCTTACTCCAGCTGATTCGGCTCCACTAACCAAGTGGTTTCACTAGCTCTCATACAGAAACAGCGTAACTGAAAACCGAATACATAAACCTGTACATAGTAAGTAGTGAGTCAGAGAAAAGATTGATTCTTTTGTCAAAAAATCTAATTAACCTTAATTATTCGTGTCATTCTGTTAGTGGCTTTGAACAATTTGACTCAATTAAGTAACTTTCATGATAATGATAGCGTTCTGTTTCATGTTCAATATCTTTTTCGGATTAAATCTTATTCCTATTGTTTTCCTTGATTGTTTTTACTTCAATTAGGAAGGTAACTTGTTACATTTAACATACCTAACATTGATGAAGTTCAATGTAGAAACTGGCCGTTATCCCAAACCATGGTATGTTAAACTCCTTGGTTTTTTTTCCTTTTTAGGTCAATCTATACCTGTAAATCTTTGTATCTGGTTTGTTGGATAGTTGTTGTTTTGTCGTAAACATCCTAAATGAGAATTGTGGCTCCTTAGTTCAAGCTATACTTCATCTATTTTAAACATCTGAGTAGTATATTTATCCATCGTAAGAAAATGTAATTAATGACCTGAATACTTAGACATGTATTTCATTACTCATGTTTCAAACCTTAAATAGTTATTCGTCTTTATGCATTGGGCTTAATTTTAGTTATGGATATCAAATTCAAATCGATGTCCCACTTAAATCAAAATCTTCCATCTTTCTTTCACTTAACCCAATTACTTACTTATTTACTCCTGTTACCATTCAAGGAGGAGCATAGAACGCTAACCAACATTGTCCACCCAACTCCATTCTAGGCTATCCTTTCCAGTAGTTTCCAGTTTCTATGCTTCCTTTTCATATCTGTTTCCAATTTCTGACTCAGTGTGTTCTTTGGCCTTCATTTTTTCGTTTCCTTTCAGGATTCCAAGTTAAGGCTTGCCTCATGATTCAGATTGATGATTTCCTCAATATGTGTCTCATCCACTTACATTGTGTTCTACTAATTTCCTCCTCAGCCCGAAGTTAATTTGTTCTCTCCCACAGTAGGCTGTTGTTGATGCTATCTGCCTAAAAACAGATATTCAGTATCTTTGTATGGGGTCATGACCGTCATCATCATGTGATCCATAAATTTGTCTTGGTATTTGTATAGTAAAAAAGGCACATATTAATGATCAAACAAGGTAGATTGATTTTAAAAGTAATTTACATCTTAAACTGTGACAACACTTGGAGAACTATTAGAAATCAGTTAGGACTTTGTGTATTTCTTCCTGATTATAGATTCCATAGCATTGTACACTCACAAACTTACTCAAAAAGGTATACGCCGGGACCTCCAAGTCTTATTGTGAGCACACATTGTCAGTTGTATCTTAAAAAAATGTCGTATACTTTCGCATTATAATCAATTAAACAAATGAATTTCTGAAATTATTCATCATATGGTCTTTATGCCTGTATGTTTTAAACTGCATAAAATCGTTTACTACTGAACTTTTGTTAATATAAACTAGATCCTTCTTAGATTATTTCTATATTTTCTATAATTGAATGGATTGCTTAAGATTTGTCGAAATAAGAAAGAGTTAGTTCAATATCTGATTAATTTTAGTTTAAACCAATGAGGTATATTTACTTATTTACTTACCTACGCCTGCTACTCCCAATGGTGCATAGGCTGCCGACCAGCATTCTCCAATCCACTCTGTCCTGGGCCTCCCTTTCTAGTTCTATCCAGTTGTTCATTCTTCTCATGTCTTCCTATCCTCCTTTGGTCTTAAGGATTCCATGTGAGGGCTTACCTTGTGACGTAGTTGGGTGCTTCTTTTTATTTCCGCAGCAATTTGGACAACTCCCGCTCTCCTACATTGTACGTGCATGATAATCTGTTCATTTCTGCTAAATTGATTCTTCTCAATTATACATACTACTGACCATCTTAATTTCAACTGGACCCAATCGTCTTATTAGTAAGGGTTTGTAATTTCCCGTTGTTGACATCTAGGACTGTAAGTGATTATTCCCTATCTTATGTGTGTTACTTCTATTGAGTCTTCAATTAAACCTATGTTATATTTAGTATGTCGTTTATGGTGATATTCAGAATATGCATTTTGTCCTATTTACGTCCATTCAGTTGAATGTACTTGTATCATAGTGATGATGTGTGCATTCGATAACACATTGGTGTTTGAAGTCTCAGTGGGAGCATCAACACTAGAATTCAGGTGCATCTGTTTTACTGATTCCCAAATGGGACAAAACATGCGTCTTAATTTCCACCACCACCCATACACTAAATGTATTTATCGTCTAAATATTAGTTCGGTTACTTATCTCCTATTGATAAAATCTATTGGTATTCCTTGGTCATTCATTTCTGTTAGTAATAGTATTGTGAAGCAATTTATTGTTGAATGCAAAATCATACATAAAATACATCATTTGCGCATCTACTTTGCGTTGTCCTCTACTCACTCTATCATTCCTTTAATTTTGTTGTTATTTGAATTACCCTCCAATTTTATTCTTGTTCTCTTCATTTCGATCATCTACTGTCCGACATTTCACTTCTGATTGTTACTACATACTACTTATATCTATTAACATAAGTAGTATACAGTACAATAGCAGTGGTATATCCTTGGTCTATTCAATAGTGAATATCTGTGTTACAATTGATTGATCACCGGGTGGTGATCAATGTCATGTATTTCAGGTTCCTTTTAGTGCAAATCTAATCCTATCGATCAAGTTCCAATGTAGCTATCAGTCTAGGTGAGTCGACATTGCATACATTGTGTTGAGATAAGATGGTGGTTGGAGAGTTAGTCAATAGGGGGAACCTTAGACCTTGGTTTAAATTCATTAAATATCTGTCATTAAACTTGTGTTGTAATCAATAATTAGTATCTATGTTGAAATTTAAAAAAAGAAACAATTTTAGAAAAGTTCCCCTTTTAGTAATTTCCAATTTCATTATTTTATTGAAACCTGATAATGTCCAATTCATCTTATCTATTATATTTTACTATTTAAAAAAAAACCAAAGGGATGAAAATGATTGGAATTTATTTCGTGATCAATTGTTCACATTACATAAGCTACAAATGGGAAATGTAAGTAATCAATATCAAATTTAATAATAATAAATACATGTTTAATTTATTAATTATGAATGAATACATAAATATTGGTACAAAGGGGGCACCAACTAGATATGTTCCATACAACTCACCTGATTTGTGAGTGCGTTGTAATTTTCATAGGGGACTACACTCGAAGCCAGGACGCATGTTTCGCCTTATTTAGAACTCGTCAGCTGGATGTATCTGCATTTCAGAGTTGATATTGTCTCTGGGACTCGAACCCAGTACCGTTTGCTTTAAACGTCATCGCGTTGTTTACTTAGCTTATGAATTAAGGTAATACGTACAGTATGCATATATGCTAATAAGAGACTAATCAATTGCAGTTCTGAACATCGTTGAGAAGATAAACAATACCAAGTGAATTCATTTTTACTCTGTGCTGGTAAAAAATAATTCTCCATTATTATTGTAAAGATTTTGGAGCAGTATACGAATGTATTTCTACTAATCATTTTACACGATATTTGTAGTTCGTTCAAAACTCGAAAAGTCGTATTCTCTAAACTCTGATTGTCTTGTACTTCGAGTATTCATTTATTTAAGCACATAAACATTCGTACCAAGAGGCACCAGATAAATACGTGACACATAAATCATTGATTCGAATTGTATGAGGGCCGGGATACTGATCGAGTGCCCAAACCGAAACAGATAGTTTTATTAGGGGGCCACACCTAGAATATTTAATCTGAAGGTCTGATCCACAGGGCAATGGAGCAATGTCACGAGATGCTGTCCCGTGGCAAATGGTGACCAATAATTGGTTCATACACCATTTGTTCCTTCAGGATACTGGAGCTTATGTGGAGCATTGGTTTGGAATGAGGGTTTTCCAACTCCCTCAGATGGATCCTCCATATGGACCACCCCGGTTAGAGCGCCGGACATTCGGTTTTCGTCCTCTCCATTTCTTAAACAACAGTAATATCACGAGAAGTCAGTTAGTATGACTTCCCTGGCAATGGCTGTATACGCATGACCATGTGAGAGCATTTGGAGAGGGTGAGCTGAATCTCCCCACCCTCGACCGTACCAGGGCATATGAGGAAATGAATGAAGGAATAAGTTTGAATGAGTGAGTGACCAAATGAAACATTGTTTGTACAATTCTAAATACATTAGTATTGAATACTGGATAAGTAATGAAATTTCAAAACATGGAAGTTAACTGGACAAACCTGAAGTTTACATAGAGACTCTAACCCCAATACCTTTGGCTTCAAGTGCTTGACACATTATCCACTGAATTATCGCGTCCGGATAGCTACTAACCTGTTCAACGGGTCTGATACCTATATCATTACTCTTTAAAGCGAAAAGCACTGTGTCCAAGTCTCGGAGTAGACATCAACACTGGGATATAAATGTATCCAGCTGGCAAATGGTAAGTAGTAACAAACGGGTATATTCAAGTCTACAGTTAATTTTTTGATAATAACTTAATTCGTTTTTTCTTTTTTTTTATTGTAGCCAATTAAAATTAATGAATCGTTAGTAAAACGTTTAACCTTTGCTAGTCAAGGACAATTAGCACCATTATGTGCTGTTTTTGGTGGAATAGCTGCACAAGAAGCTATAAAAGCGATTACATTTACATTTACACCAATTAATCAATGGGTAAGTTCTATTAGGAACAGTGAAAAAGGAACTATATTATAAGTGTATGATTGAAATTAATGAGTAGTTAAACCATACCAAATAGTTTAGTAAGTATTATATGTTAACAGTAATTGGTAATTCTACACTAATATCACCGTTATAATAAAACTAGTCCTATAACCAGCGTTAAGATATGGCACATGAATACGCGGCAGTTTAAGTTGCCAAATGAACACAAGATGAGATTGTAGAGATGCAAAGCAAAATAATCGAAATACTAGTATCAATAATAGTGAGACTAGCTGACAACAGAGATTATACCATAAATAGAAGATAAAAAATAGATGGTAGCGAAGATTTGTAGCTCAGGCGGATGATTATGATGGAATTTTGTTCTCTAAGCTGGATGGTTTGAACGTGGAGCTTTCATCGTTCATCAGCACAAACGTCAGGTAGAAGTGAAGTGTTCAAATTTCTCCACATGTGGTTCACAGCTTGTCCTGTAGACCTCGATGTTGATTGGTTCTTGTTGGCTTTAAGGTCATTCAGAAGAACGATCGAACCATCCAGCTCAGAGAACTAAACTCCATCAAAACAAAATAAGAGTATGATACTTATTAAATGATATTGAAATAAATTTAAAAAATAGAGGAAGAGACAGATTGAATACATTTTCACTAGTTTAGCGACGGTTCATTATGGTCAAGACATTTAACTTTACGACATTACAAGTTACAAGTTTGAATCCCATCCCACCTATTTCTGTTTATCCAACTGGTAAGTATCATCAGCCTTCAAATTTACTGTATAATTTGAAACCAAGTACATAAATATGTATTGAACGAGAACACAAGTGGGGACAATCGAATGTACTTCAATACGAAGTTACAGAATCTCTTAGTAAAATCTGAGAACCATACAATAAATACTTCATCAACGAACTGTCAATCAATTGTCTCTTTCATTTCCACACCAATCATTCTCCGTTCTCGTTCTCTTTCCTTCGATCTTCTTAACCTCCTATTTTCAGACATTTCACTTTTTGTTGATGGTACATACTACTTATATCTGTTAACATCAATAGTGCACACCGCAAAATAAATAAATCCCTCATCTGTCCTATACAAACTTTGCTACAAAAAACTTAATCCAGAATTGTATCCGTAGCGATGTGTTGTCTTGATAATTTCATGTAAATTATGCATTGAGTGGATTGCTCATAATGGTAGGACAATAATATATTTCTAATATGCCGACAAGTAGCATATGATTTCATTGAAATCATGAACCAATCAAAATTAGACCGCTATCGAAAACCAGAAATCAGTGAACAGCCGTTTCGTCCTGTCTTTGTACTCTCTAGCAGTGCAAATTCACGACCCTAAAAGCGGGAACCAAACCAAAGATATTCGTCCTCGCACGTGAATACTAAACCTGTAAACCATTGGGCCGTGTATATAGCCTCTGCCAGGGAAGTCCTACTCACTGCCTTCTCGTGGCGGGGGTGTTGTTTACGAAATTGAGAGGACGAAAAGCGAATGTCCGGCGCTTTAACCGGATTCCAAATCAATGGTGCACATGGGCTCCAGTATCCTGAGGGAACAAATGGCGTATGAACCAATTGTTGGTCACCGGCTTCCATGGGACTGCATCTTCCTACGATGCTCCACTGCCTTGTGGATCAGACCCTCAGGTCGAAGGCTCCGGGTGTGGCTCCCTAAGAAAACCACCTATTTCGGTTTGGGCACCCGTGCAGTATCACAGCCCTCACACATATCGAATGAGATTTGTGTGGCGCATATGTATTTGGTGCCTCTTTGTACAAATATCTATGTGTTGAAATAAATAAATATAATAATAAACCATTGGGCCGGGATTGTGAGCAATCGTTTCTATACAATGATAGATATACAGGGTTATTAGACACCCCCAGGTCAGATAGGCTAGAATTCGCCGAAGGAATCGCGATGATGAGTGATGTGAACCCTAGGTTTTAGAAACACTCTAGTGTTGTAGCATCACCATAAGTGGCTAACATTAATTAACTTTAGCTTCTCCTGCTTTTACTATAAATAGATCAATTTTTTTCTCGCCACAGCGTTTAGTGGTACGGTATTAAATAACTTGAGAGAATCCCAGGAACTGGAGGTTGAAAAGCATAAGCAGAATCTTTTGAATCCGATTATATGTTTTCCCAGTGGACTGATTCATCAACAGTAGACTCTAAAAAGTAAAATGTTTTTTTCATTGTTTCTATATCTTCAACATGATTTAGCTGTACATTCATTGTGCATCGATTGTACCACTTGAAGTCAGTACGAAATCAAATGAATTTCAGAAGTGAGTGATACATTTTTTTCGTTTTTCATTTCTCTAATATTCTTTATTGATTAGTTAATGACCATATGGTGGTAATTATTCAATATAACCATTGAACTTAGTATACAGTTCATCTTGACATCCGTCAATAGAAAACGCCTCAACGGTATATTAAACAGAAGGCGAATACGAAATGTTGATTACGTTTATTATGGGACCACACACAGATAACCAAAATTGCAGGTGCGTTAAACAAGCATGAAAGAGTTGTGCCGAAAGGCTAGCAGGTAAGCGAGCGAGCGTGTGAATGAGTGAGTCAACGAATAGGAGCACGAGTAAGCGAGTACAATTAGGCGAGAGAGAGAGCGGCGAATATGAATAACATGGACATATATATACATAGTGAAATGAATGAACGAAACATCGAATCAATTAAGCGGTTAGTAGTAGTAAGGCTAGCAGCGTGAATAAATGCTTAAGCAATAAACAATACTCAAGCATACATGTTCATACATTCGCAACAATAATAAGGATACAATGATATAAGATAAATTGTTGTTGTACGAATCACTCGACTCAGTTCGTTGATAATTTAACAAAATGATTTAACCGAATTTAATATGAACAAACTCAATTGCACAAGAGTTGCTATAATAGTTCCCCACAGCAACACAAAGATACAAAACAGTGTCTGTGAAAAAAATGTCAAATTTAACAGAAGGGTAAATATTTGAAATTTACGAAATTAAGATGTATGATAGAACTATCGTGTAAGTTATTACAAATACATGTAAGTTTGAGTTCGTATATGTCCGTGAGGCCAAATAAGATAATAATGGAAGATCGAAAGAATACATAAAATATGTCGAATATAATAATAATAGATAAGTTAAAATTTTCGATGTGTACATAGAAGACGAAGATGAAAGAAATTTACATCTAAAGAGGTGAAAGAAATTATTAATTCAAAATCGTAGCTATGTATCGTTGCGGCCATCTCACTCTTCGACAATATCTTGTCGTTACTGGATTCTCTTCGTTTGTCTTCGTCGATGTCGTTGATGATTGGAATTCACGTTTCGATGATTCGACGGTTTTCGAAGTATCTCTATGTACTGGCTGATCGTCAGTTTCGATGAAAGCTGGTTTGACTCGGTCGACGCTAATTACATCCATTTGTCCAGCTTTGTCTACCGTAATAGTCTTGTCGTTTCTTCTAATCACTTTGAATGGACCATCGTAGGCTGGTTGAAAGGGATGCTGCACATTATCTCTTTTGATAAACATATGGGTACTGTCGCTCAGTTGTTTTGGTATGTACACGCGGTGTTGATGTCGCTTCGGAAGCGTTATCTTGAGGTTACTCATATGCTTCTTTAGACGTTGTACATAATTGTCTATATCAGTTGGAACGCTTTTACCTGAGGTGAAAAACTCTCCTAGTAGACGTAGAGTGGTTCCACAAACCAATTCTGCTGGGCAGCATACTATATCTTGTTTGATTGTTGATCTTAAACTCAACATGACTAATGGGAGCTTGCTGACCCAATCATTATCGCTAATGACAACTGTAAGACAGGCTTTGAGTTGTCGATGTAATCTCTGTACTATACTACTCGACATCGGATGGTAGGATGTTGTGTGAATTCGTTTGAATCCGAGGAGCTCTGTGAGGTTTTGGAACAGGCGGCTTTCAAATTGAACTCCTCTATCAGTTGTAATATTAGTAGACACGCCATAATAGGAAATCCAATGCTCTACTAGGGTTTTCGCTATAGTTTCGGCTGCAATGTCTTTTGTGGGCACTGCTACTGGGCATCGCGTGAATCTATCAATGCAAGCGAAAATGTAACTAAAGCCATTCGAAATCGGCAGCGGTCCCACAATATCGATATGTATGTCCTCGAATCTGCTATCGGGGTGACGGAAATGACCTACTGCGGAACCGGTGTGGCGATGTATCTTAACTTTCTGGCATTTTATACACCTTTGCGTCCAGTTACGAATATCCCTGTTCATATATGGCCATACGAAACGCTCGCCGACTAGTTTGATGGTGGCCTTTATTCCAGGATGCGAAATATTGTTCATAGCTTCGAAAATGTTTCGTATTAGTGGCTTTGGAATAAATGGTCGTGGTTGGCCCGTAGAAATGTCGCACATGATGCTTACTTTTTCCATTGGAGTTTCTTCGAGTACTAATGAGGTTGTATTAGCAGACTTTAGTCTGTTTAACTCGACATCGATATTTCGCAATGCTGCTAATTTGTGATAGTCGATTTCGGATTGGATGAGAGCGTTTACCATCGTTTTGGATAACGCGTCTGCCACTTCGTTATTACTGCCTTTGATATACTGTGTGTTAGACGGAAATTAGGAAATAAATTCTAATTGTCGAATTTCCCTCGGCGAGTAGTTATCCTGTTTGGCGTTTAATGCATTTGTGAGGGGTTTATGATCTGTATATATTGTGAAAACGGAACCCTCAATCATATATCGGAAATGTTTTATTGCTAAGTAAATCGCTAATAGTTCTCTTCCAAACGAACTATATCTCGTTTGAGTAGGATTTAATCTCTTAGAGAAAAATGAAAGTGGTTCCCATGTACCTTCCAGAGATTCATCGATCAGGTTGTCAGGGGGTTGACAGGAGTATACGCATATATCCATGATATATTAATAGCTAGTGCTGCCATGGAGGAACATCTACCACTGCTGTTTACGAAACCTCAAGAACATGGCGTCACTAATAACGTGGAGAAGTGTGAATTTGGAAAGGAATCATTGAAATTCCTAGGTCATATGATAAACTCACATGGTATCATGCCAGTTCCGACAGAGGTTGCTGCTATCCGTAATTATTCGTTGCCCATCAGAATTGGTTTGTGGAACCACTCTACGTCTACTAGGAGAGTTTTTCACCTCAGGTAAAAGCGTTCCAACTGATATAGACAATTATGTACAACGTCTAAAGAAGCATATGAGTAACCTCAAGATAACGCTTCCGAAGCGACATCAACACCGCGTGTACATACCAAAACAACTGAGCGACAGTACCCATATGTTTATCAAAAGAGATAATGTGCAGCATCCCTTTCAACCAGCCTACGATGGTCCATTCAAAGTGATTAGAAGAAACGACAAGACTATTACGGTAGACAAAGCTGGACAAATGGATGTAATTAGCGTCGACCGAGTCAAACCAGCTTTCATCGAAACTGACGATCAGCCAGTACATAGAGATACTTCGAAAACCGTCGAATCATCGAAACGTGAATTCCAATCATCAACGACATCGACGAAGACAAACGAAGAGAATCCAGTAACGACAAGATATTGTCGAAGAGTGAGATGGCCGCAACGATACATAGCTACGATTTTGAATTAATAATTTCTTTCACCTCTTTAGATGTAAATTTCTTTCATCTTCGTCTTCTATGTACACATCGAAAATTTTAACTTATCTATTATTATTATATTCGACATATTTTATGTATTCTTTCGATCTTTCATTATTATCTTATTTGGCCTCACGGACATATACGAACTCAAACTTACATGTATTTGTAATAACTTACACGATAGTTCTATCATACATCTTAATTTCGTAAATTTCAAATATTTACCCTTCTGTTAAATTTGACATTTTTTTCACAAACACAGACACTGTTTTGTATCTTTGTAATTTTGGTTATCTGTGTGTGGTCCCATAATAAACGTAATCAACATTTCGTATTCGCCTTCTGTTTAATATACCGTTGAGGCGTTATCTAGTGACCGTTGTCAAGACGAACTGTGTACGATGTTTAAGGATTATATTTTTATTCTTTATTATTTCATTTTAATACATAGATGTTTGTACAGTGGGGCACCAAATATATTGCGCTACACAAATATCATTTGGTGTTTGTGAGTGCTGTGATATTGATGATGTGCTCTAACCGAAGAAGGTAGTCTTCTTAGGAGGCCACACCTGGAGGCGTCGAAGTAAAGGTGTGATTCGTGAGGCACTGCAGCAACGTTTGATGATGCAGTAATCTGGTAGTCGGGGACCAACGATTGGTTCATACGCCATTTGTTCCTTTAGGATACTGTAGCTCATGTGGAGCATTGTTTCGGAATTAGGGTTCCCCAGCTCCACCATATGAATCCTCTGTGTCCACCAACCTGATTGACGCGCCGGTCATACGCTTTTCGTCCTCTCAAGTTCCTAAGCAACACACCCGTCAAGAGAGGGCAATGAGTAAGACTTTCCTGGCGTAGGCTGTATACGCGTGGCCGTGTGGGAGCATTTCGGTAAGGAAAACGGTCTCTTTTTACTCTCGGCTGTACCAGGGTATTTGCGGGCCACCACGAGTTGCATAGGGCGCCCACCAGCATTTTAACAGTTTACTATGATCAAAATATACCGAAATTATATGTAGAAGTCGGTTTTCATCCCTAATCAATATTAACTGGAAATCCATTCAAAGAACAGAAAGTATGTGGATAATTCATTGTATCTTGATTTTTGAACCAAACAGCAATGTGAATCTATCACCCTCTTTTCAAAATTCTTCAAACCTCTCATAGAACATGCAAGATATTTAATCTACTAATTCCGAGTGTAATCATTTCTAATGTTAATAATTTATGATAAAATAAATATATAAATACCAGAAGAGGTTTTGTGCATATTATAGTAATTTTAATAGTTGAGATCATGAGTCAATTGGAGCTAGACCATCATGGAAAACCTGGAAGCATTAGATGGTCATTTCATCGTATTATGGGACTCCTCAGCACTGCGCATCCACGATGCCGCATAGCAAGATTCGAACTCAGGACTTATCAGTTTCGCACGCGAGTGCTTAGCCTTTAGACCTGGGTTCGGATCGTGGATGCTCACTGTTGAGGAGTCCCATAGTAGGACGAAACGGTCGTCCAGTGCTTCCAGGTTTCCTCTCTATGAAGCCTAAAATTGATTAATAAACAGTCCAAATGAAATTAATTGTTTTTTAACGTATCCCACTTTCAAGTCCCGCTAGGAGTATGAAGACAATTCCTCAGTTGCCCATCCTGTAGAAGAATACTTTTTCTTAAGGAATTTGAAAAAAGAATTGGGTTAACTGTAGCCTTGATGAACTGTGAACATGTCGTCAAGTCTGAAGAAACAGTTGTTTCAAGCTGATCACATACGTCTTCACCATTAACACATTTACCTCAACCAGATAGTCTGTATCTATCTAAGTTGTTTAGTTCAGCATTCATTGATTCTATAGATGGGTGCAATGTCCTAGTTCGATGAGAAATATTGGTAAAAGATAATTTTAGTTACAACAATCCTTGTTATTCTATGAATTTATAGAGTATCTATCCAAATTATCAACAACCTATTGGCTTGTCTTGTTTTATAAGATTAGAAAAGAACATAAATACACCTAATTGAAGACTTTTCTAATAATCACTATAAATCCTGATTAACCAATCAGTAATAAGGTATACACAGTTAATTAACTAGTATTCCTTTGTTACTTATAATATCTTTTTTGCCTTAAATAAAATAAAGCACCCAAATACATTGATAAGGCCGAGAGTAGGGAGAGTTAGCTGTTCATCGCGAAGTGCTCTCACATGGCCACGCGTATACAGCTACTGACATGGAAGTCTCACTTATTGACTTCTCGCGGCATTATTGTTGTTTAAGAAATTGAGAGGACGAAAACCGAATGTCCGGCTTTCTAACCGAGTTGGTTGATATGGAGGATCCATCTAGGTTAGTTGGAAAACCCTCATTCCAAACCAATCCGCATGGTCTCCAGTATCCTGAGTGAACAAATGGTGTACAGGCCAATTGTTGGTCACCAACTACCATTTTACTGCATCTCCTGACGTTGCTCCATTGCCTTATGGATCAGACCTTTAGATCGACGGCTTTTGGTGTGGCATCCCAAGAACACTATCTGTTTCGGTTTGGGCACTCGATCAGCATCCCAGCCCTCACACAATTCAAATGAATGACTTGTGTGCCACATTGTCTATTTGGCGCCTTCTTGTACTAATGTTTAAATAAAACAAATATATTTTCTGTTTGAAATCCATCCTGATCATCCTTGTTAACTGTTGTCTATTCTGTGATCTTTTACTTCATTTATTATTATTCTTATAATTCTATATTTATTCATACCGCTTATTACATAATCTCTTTTATGTAATAGTTATTTGTCAAGTCGTTATGCCGCTTTAATTCAATGTATCGGTGTGTCAAATCTTCAAAAAATTCATAATCTAAGTGTTTTTATGGTATGTTATATTGTGTTAATATTTAAAATCATTTTATAATTTAATCAATTTATTATACAATTGAACTGTTCATTATGGAGTGTATCAATGGGTTATTTTACTTTGATGACATTTGATGGATTCGGATCAGATAGGCATTTCTGAATATGACTTGATCTCCTTTTAAGTGTTTCCGATTACTGCTTATACTTTTACTACCTCTACCACTACGGAATTTGACTCGACAACTGCATCCCTGTGCTAATGTGGTATGGCAACTCGAACTGATGTACGTACATACGAAGTTCTACGTTGTTACTGACTGACTGACTTTTAACTGTCACCTTCCCTTCATAGAACTAATCATTGAGGAATAGATCTCTAAAAGCAGAATTAATAACTCATTGACTTAATAGTTTATTATTAGGGGAATAAATTCAATTTTTTATATACAACTATAATAGTAGAATCATAAAGTTTGGAGAAGTCAATAGTTGATAGTCAATTATTGATGGAAATATGGACGACTGTCTTTTTCTATCCGTCAGGAATGCTCATCTATTATACTCATAGATTTAATAGTAGTCATAGTGTTTGAATTATCACTGTTCACTTCATCACCAAGGTGTATCTGTAATCTTGAAGGAACTAATGCTACTCGTATGTCTCAAACTCTCATCATCCAGCTTCAAAATCTGAGATTCTTTGCTAACACTTACAACCGTCTGACATCTCAACTTGATACATGATGTCAAGTCACTTTGATTAGTGAACACACTGTAACTTAGTTGATAGAATTTGATCAACACTGAACACTGCAGAAACATAAGATTGGTCACTACTTATTAAGAAGCCATTTGTGTGCTACTTTTATTGATCGAACTTCACTTCACGTTCGACTTTTTCCTTGATTGTTATTGTTTTACAGGTTGGTTGTGGTGCGATTGGTTGTGAATTATTAAAGAATTTAGCATTATTAGGTGTAGCCACTGCTAGATCTAATGATGATGATTTACATTCAGCGAACAACGTGACTGATTCTAATCAACATCAATATTGTTATCGTCGTCATCAATTTGAACAACAAGAAAACAACAATCAGTTTACATATACTACAACACTCGATACTTCATTGATTTCTCATGCGAATGTTGATGGTGGGGATCATCATCAAACGTTGTCACATTCAGAGGTAGACAGTCAACAACAACACGACAATTCACCTCATCCTAATGATAAACTCACTAATAATTCTGAAACAATTGTCAATTCAATTATATCACATCAAGTTTCTACATCTCAAAGACAATCACTAAAATCTGTATTAAGTGAATCAATCATTAATAATAGATGCCCAAATATTATTGTCACTGATCCTGATCATATCGAGAAGTCAAATTTAAATCGACAATTTCTTTTTCAATCATGTCATATTGGTTTGTCAAAAAGTCAAATTGCATGTGATACTGCTAAGAGAATTAATCCGAATATATCAGTAAGAGCAATGTGTGATAAATGTGAGCGAAATTTCGTTTTTTTTTTTAAATCTTGCACTGTTCAAACAATTAGTGGTCTTGAGTGTTGTTAGAGGTATGAGGGTGGTTATCACTTCCTGGTCGCCCACACCGTGGAAGGGTTCCTCTGGAAGTACCTGAAAAGGAAATCGGATTAGAGGTGGTCTTAGTGACTTGAGAGCGTGACCGCAGTGCCCAAGGGACAGCTACTTGAGGTCGGTCACATACGACCTTTTTATGAGTAATTTTTGTGTTAACTCCGTACTTGTTGAGACCTTACCGCCGGAGACAGATATCCGTGGGATAAGGCGAGGTGTGCATTTTAGGGTCGACCTTTTGTAACCCCACCCCTCCTTGTGGGAAGACAGCATAAATATCATGCTGGTTGTCTGAAGGAAACAATTTACTGCTGTCATACCTCTGTACAGTCAGCAGTACGACTTCGCCTTCGGACCTTAGGTTTGTTGCTTTTAGTCTTACCGCTCTTCAACCGACCTGTCTGGCATGGTAGGACATTGAGGAACGGTTGTTCCAGCCAGCGTAGTTCAGTTGCTTCATCATGATAGGCAAGCCCGACCACCACGTTAAGGTAGCAACAACGGTTCAAACAATTGATAAACTCATAAGTTACAGGTCAAACATACTCTGTGGATAGATGTTTCTAATGTTCAAACTTTGAGTTAGAGGTAATGCAGGGAAGATACTTGTTGACGGAGGATTACTACAATCCTGAAGGAAGTGAATTCTGTTACAGGGTCGTTGCCTATATCACATATTGTTTCAGCCGAAGGTTTTACCGCTGAATTATTCGTTTAATCTGTTGTGTTAAACTAGTTCCTCTTTGAATAGTTTATTTATTAACTTTATTTATTTGAACACATAAACATTGGTACAAGGGGGCACCAAATACATATGCGCCACACAAGTCACTTGATTTGTGTGTGAACTGTGATATTGCCCGGGTGCCCAGACCGAACCAGGTGGTTTTCTTAGGAGACCACACCTTGAGCCTTTGACCTAAAGGTTTAATCCACAAATTAGTGGAGCGACGTCAGGAGATGCAGTCTCACAGTAGCTGGTGACCAATAATAGGTTCATACATCATTTGTTCCTTTAGGATCCTGGAGACCATGTGGAGAACTGGTTTGGAATGAGAGTTTTCCAACTCCCCTAGGTGGACTCTCCGTGTCCACCAACCCGGTTAAAACACCGGACATTTGCTTTTCGTTCTCGCAATTTCATAAACAACATCCGCACCTTGAGTAACTAATTTCTTTCTAATATTAATTTCCTTCAAGAATTCAAATGCACTTTGCTGTGATGAGTCTGAATTAACAGAAAACTTAGATCGGTTAGTGCTTTCGAATCCCATCCATTCGTCTGACATCAAAATGTAGTACAAGAGATACCGAGTCGCTTTCGATTAATCACTAAATTACAACTTGATCAATAAAATTAATCAACACTATGATCTAGTCGATGATTATATTGATCAGTATTAAGCGATCATTTTTATTGTCCTCTAATTACATATAAAACTGATCAAATTCATTCGAACAAACGCTATTGACGGTTAAAGATATTTAACCATTCAAATAAGAATGACTGATTATTAGTTATAAGATGACAGTGAAAAACTGTAGATGAAATTCTAAACTGAGCTTCAAAAGCTTACCTTGTATGTGTGTGTTTCAATCCACTACACAACTCGACGCCCGATGATGACTAATGCGCGAATAGGTTGGAAGAAACCTAATGCCACTCAAACTAAAATCTCACACTACACTATCAAGATATCGGTTGTTGGACTGAGCCATATAGGTAAGTGCAGACTACATTATCAGTATGGGCATGATTATAACCAATGGTTGGAGATTTTGCATAACATGGCTCAGAATATATCGCAATAGCATAAGTGCGTTCACTCTTTGTCTTTCTTTAGTACGGTCTAAACTTCAAAAATAAACTCATAAACGATTTTACTCCACCAAACCATAATTTCTACTCGAATCACCACTTTGACGCCTAATCTTTTCTGTTACCACCATTAGTGTTACTACCTCTGGAATTCTGAGATTTGCTCTGACGATTTCATTTCGCTGAGCTCATATGGTGTGGCAACTTGAACTGATGTACACACGTTTCAGGTTCTATGTTGTGTATGACTAACTGAGCAAATAAAAATTTATTTTCCATATGATCAACTCTTATAATGTTGATTAGAGCTCTGAAGCCAGATTAAACTGATGACACAATTTATACGCCTTTTTGCTTTCCAAAATTCATTATTAACATCATATTGATTTTAGTTGTAAGAAAATTTTATTCTCAACATTCTCTAAGACGACAGATTTTATTAAGAGGTAATACTGAAGGATGGGATAGTATTATCTCCCTGCAGCAAGTATGATATCATCATTTGTCTAAGTCTATTCCAGGTACATCTGAAGAGGATAACAGACACGCGAAATCCGGCAATGCTACTTTCTGAAGTCTTTCCTTACTCAATGATCTAAAAGCCAGTAAAACAAAATGTCGAAAATAACAGGATATCAAAGTACATTTGAATTATAAGTCAATGTATCTTAGTGTATGAAATCTAAGCTAAATATTTATTGTAGGAGATGCACAACACGAGGTATCTCAGTGTGATGTAGTGCGGATGCTTAATGCGGAGTCTTCAGCTAGGAGTGTATCCAGTATTCAGTATCAATGTTGAGGAATTACAAAGCTATTCATAAATTTCTTAACCGTTACACATCCATTGATTAATACAATACAGTCAAATTATTTTGATTTAAAATTAGAAAAATTCATTGAGTTTATAGTTTAACATTACACAATGAACTTGTTTAGAGAACCATTGGGAACCAGGAATTACTGAAAGGTAGTTTCGCCCTAGTTTAGAATACCTTACCAGTCCTTATCCCCTATCCTGCCTAGAGTTGAACCCATGGTCTTCAGATATCTCAGTGACCACCTAAATTCTAGACTACCGATTTGACATCCAGCGGTTTTCATTTCTAATTTCAATTTAAAATCTTGCCGGTCTATTGCGACTGGTGTTAGTTTTCTCGTGACCGAACTCTATACATCGTGGCTTTTCATTGAAATTCCATGTCCGAACGTTAACTCCTTGATGTGGAGGCTTAAAACTCTAGGTTCAATTCTTGATGGAGTCATCAACATTCATTGCTGAGGAATCCTATACTAGGATTAGATAGCTCTATATCGCTTCCTAGTTTTCAACTATCCTCATAGCCTCCTATGATATAAAGTAATTTAATCGAATCTATCCACAGTTTTATTCTTTTCATTTCTGCTAATTGTTTGTTTGTTCGTTTCTTCTCAATTTCCAGTTTGGCCAAATACTGAAAAGACTATTTTCACTGATGAATTTTTATTACAAGCAACAAAGTGCAGTAATTACAAACAAGAGATAACATCTCCTTCAATATTGAATACTTCTTCATATAAACATGGTATTGTACTAGCTGCTTTAGATTGTGTACCAACACGTCGTTATTTAGATTCACGTTGTGTAACACTACATTTACCATTGATTGAATCTGGTACTTTAGGCACTAAAGGTCATGTTCAAGTAATTTTACCTGATATTACTGAATCATATAATAGTCAAATGGATGATGATGTTCATAATAACAATGATATAGATGGTAATGGAAATATTGATAGTCAAGTGAATACAATACCATATTGTACATTGAAATCATTTCCAACCTTACCAATTCATTGTATTGAATGGGCACGTGAAAAAGTGAGTTTAATTATTAAATTTATTTATGTTGTGATTTTCATCATAGTAAACAAAATGTCCACATATTCCTATACATAGTCAATCAGCGATTTCATAGCTTTCTTACATAATTAGTTGTTCATGCTGTACCGTGTATTTTCTGATTTTGTCGGTGTTTGCGCTAGTGATAATCGTGCAATACCATGAATTTACTGATCTTGGTTATTGTAGTTCATTGAATGTTATCTAGATCATCTAAAGATAACGCTGTTGCGATTTGTCTAATGAGTTCTGGCACTGAGGTTTGATAATATTATAACTTATGCCCTGTGTCCTATTAATATATGACATAATGATACCACCAATTAGAGAGCAGTCAATTATCGACCGGACCAATGACGCATAAAACACGTGCGAGCAGTCTAGAGTCCTTATTGGTCCTGTTTCCCGCCTAGCCATACCTGTCAAATTGGGAACACCAATCTCAGCGTCCGCTATATAAATCATTTATTTCAAACATACTGGGTTTATATACAAACCAAATAGACCACATCGCACCACAAAATAGAAAACAACATTTGTACAAGAATTAGCCAAAAGTGGCTATAAATGTGGAGGGTATTAAACGATAGAAAGGGCATAACTCCAGAATGGTAAATCGTATAATAACAGTTCATAGGTCAGAATGAAGCTTATGAGAAGTGGAACACGAATATGAATAGTTTAGTTATTTAGGAATGATACGATAAAAATATACGTATAATATTGGTCCGTAATGGATCCCAAAAGTTACCATTCGTCATTGTCATCAGGATATAACAAGTAGAGCCGTAGAATTTGTTTTACAAAAGAGTCCAATGTCTGTACAAGACACCTATAACCAATGTTTCCTAGTTCACAATGGCTATATAAACTGGAATCAATTCCTGATATTAATCATTTTCACGGATAATAGTAATATAGTGTTATATCCCGATAACCATAATGAATGATAACTTTTAGGATCCATTTATGGACCAATACTATACGTATATTTTTATCGTGTAATTGCTATGTAACTAAACTGTTCATATTCATGTCCCTCTTATTATGAGTTTCATTTTGACCTATGAACTATTATTATATGATTTACCATTCTTGAATTATCCCCAGTCTATCAATTACTACCTCCCTCATTCACAGCCACGTATGGATAATTCATGTGCAAATGTTGTTTCATATTTTATTGGTACATTGTGGTCTGTTTGGTTGGTATATAAACCCAGTATGTTTGAAATATAATGATTCATATTGCAGAGGCTGAGATTGGCGTTCTGGACTTAACTGGCTGGGCTAGGCGGAAAGCAGGACCAATAAGGACTCTAGACTGCTCGTATGTGTTTTGCGCGTCCTTGGTCCGGTCGATATTTCACTGCTTCCTAATTGGCGGTCACAAGTATAACATATAGATAGTGAAATGATCTCGTTTGTTCCATACAACATTATCTAAATGTATGTCCTAAAAGAAATTTGGGCATTCAATCTCCTATCATCATTTACAAATAATTTTTTTTACCCAATTACAAAGTAGTTGATCATTTACAGCCGACTTGATGTCATACTTTTTTGTTAACGGTTTGATATCTCTGTCCTTATGCCCATACGGAAGCAGATTTAACAAAAAAAGGAGTTCGAACCTACATTTTAATAGTTAAAGATCAAATATACCAAGTATCTGTCTATTTTAATTTCTCTTCTCATGTATATGAGATTGTATCAAGGGAGATTATTTTAATTCGTAAAGTTTTTTGCTGTTGTTGTTGTTGTTGTACTTTTTGAATGTTTCACTGTTCATTGTGTTTATTTTAGACGATTTGCATCAAATTCTGATGTTTTCGTTGTTTCCCTCTTTCTCTCTCTCGCTCTCTTATTGTTTATCCTATTCCCATTATTGTCTCATATTGACTAATAATGTACTCCTTCCTAACTGATCGCTATTGTCTATCCTATTTAAGGATAAGTAGGGTAGGTGGATACCCATATGAGAAATAATGTTTATATAAAGAACTGTCTGATGAATCGAATAAATATTTGCCAAAACAATTTTACAGACTTATTGTCTCTTTTTCTAATGAATAAGTAAAGAGTATAAATTTAAATATTGAATAAGAATGAATTGGAATGAAAGTGATGAAACATTTTTCCAGTGTAGTTGATTTGTTCTCCAAAAATATAACTTTTGTATTAAATAAAGTTTTTATTAGTTGAATTTATGTGTCAATGTAAGCTAGATCACCATGGGAAACATGGAAAAACCTGAAGACTGTTTCGTCCTTGTATGAGACTTCTCAGCAGTGCGCATCCACGATCCCACAATCAGGACTCGAACCCAGGACCTTCGGTTTCGTGCGTGAATGCTTAACCTCTGGACCACTGAGCCGGTATCCGACAGTGTTAATGTCTAACTTCAGTCGTCTCATGAATGATTCATTCATCCATTATCTGAGTTCGATACCTGTCTCTACCTGACACGGATTGTACTGTTGAGAAGTCACGTACTAGAATGAGGCGGCCGATCAATGCTTCCAGGTTTTCAACTATGGTCTCGCTTACATCAACTCATAAATTCAACTCTCAAAATTACTCCATTCTCCACAAATCCCATTCTGAAATAAAGTTTTAGCTGATGCTTGTAAGGATTTATTTGATTATCGATCGAACCAAGTAGGCATAAAACACGTGAGAGCAGCCTAGAGTCCTGATTGGTCTTGCTTTCCGCCTAACCCAGCCATTTAAGTCCACAACACCAGTCTCAGCTTCATTATATTTCAAACATACTGGCTTTATATACCAACCAAACAGACCACAACGTAGCATAAAATAGGAAATAACGTTTGTATAAAATTTGGCCAAATGTGGCTGTGAATGTGGGAGGCAGTGACTAATAGACAGGGCGTAATTCAAGAATGGTTAAACGTTTAATAATGGTTCATAGGTCAAAATAAGGCTCATAATAAGAGGGAGATGAATATGAATAGTTTAATTATTTAAAAATTATACGATAAAGATATACGCATAGAATTGGTCCATAAAAGGATCCCAAGGTTACCATTCATCATAATTATCGGGATCTAACAGTAGTATACTCAATCAAGTCAAAGGTGACATATACCCTTACTAATAACATTAACTGATTATTGTTTCATGTCACGAATTCCTTAGTGTCTACATTATATGAGTCATTGGATTTTGGACTCTATAAGTTAATAACATCTCATTCATTGTGAATTATGTGAACTAGGATGATTCAGTGGTATTTTGATATCAATGTTAGCTAATTAAATGATTATATTGACTTCTACAAAATTTTGATGTCCTATGGAGAAGCCATAACCGAACACGTTCAACAGTGTTTGTAGTAAGATAGTTGTTATTGCATAAAATAACCAACAATCATGCAACATTGTTAATACCTACTTTTCTAACTCTACTTTGTTTCTTCTATTTTAATGATGAATTTTGAATGACCAGAATGGGGAATTGTGCAGATTGTAATGATTTTAATTGTTGAATTCATGAGCCGATCTTAGCTAAATCACCATTACAAATCTGGAAGCACTGAATGACCAAAAGTCCTAAGTTAGATTCCTGCGTGCTGAATCGTGGATTCACGCTACTGAGGAGCCTCATACTAGAACTAAACCGGAGTCTAATGCTTCCAAGTTTTCAATGGTGGTCTCGCTTAAATCAACTCATGATTAAAATTTTGAATTACTTATAAGTAGTATATCTTATTTACCTAATAGAATTTATGACTAGTGTTAGCTTTTCACTGAAATCTCATAAAAACAATTATTGTTTTATGTCAATAACGTTTCATTAAGTCCTTAAATTAATGTAGCTTTGTAACTTCCTATCCATTTCTTGTGAAAACAGTACACTTTTCTAGTAAATAATTAATGTTCCTAAATTTACCATATTTAACGATAGTTTCAATAGTTTATTCTATATATTTATTTTGACACATAAATACTGTTACAAGGGGGCACTAAATACATATGCGCCACATAAGTCTCATTTGATATGTGTGAAGGCTGTGATACTGCCCGGGTGCCCAAACCGAAGCAGGTGGTTTTCTTGGAGGGCCACACCCAGAGCCTTCGACCTGAATATCTGATCCACAATGGGGTGGAGTTACATCAGGAGATGCAGTCCCATGGTAGTCGGTGACCAACACAATGTTCACACGCCATTTGTTCTCACGGGATGCTGTAGCCCATGTAGAGCATTGGTTTGGAATGAGTGTTTTCCAATTCCCTAGGTGGACTCTCCATGTCCACCAACACGGTTAAAGCACCGGATATTTGCTTTTCGTCCTCTCTATTTCGTAAACAACAGTAATGTCACGAGAAGGCAGTGAGTGAGACTTCCCTGTCAGAGGCTATATACGCGTGGTCATGTGAGAGCATCTGGAGAGGGAGAGCTGACTCTCCCCACTCTCGGCCGTACCAGGGCATTTCGGGGCAATTATTTATTTGGTTTTCCAGATTAATTGTCATCACAATCTTCTGGCTTCGTTCGTCACTATTTAATTAGGTGAATTTTCAACTTCACTTAGTTTATGGTGTCATACAACCATTGTCTTATGTCACTGGTGAACCTTATCTTACCTCCTACAACTTCATTATTCATAAATTGACATTCAAAACTTAGGCTATTCATTTTGAATAGAACTAGAACAAATATTGATGCAGAATAGTATGAATTCATAATATTTCGAAGTTTCTCGTCAGCTGCTTACAAACAAAAATGTGATCGAATTTTTCCATAGAGATAGTGTGAAACAATTGACATAGATGAGTGTAAATCACTGGATTACTATAATAACTATATATATATATGCTAGAAACAGGTCAGAGGTAAAAAAGGAGGAGGGGTTACTTCAGGTTGGGTGGTTTAATTGTGTGACAATTATAGAGATTTCACAGATTGAAATCATGAGTCACTTGAAGCTAGACCACCATTGAAAACCTGGAAGCACTGGACGGTCGTTTCATCCTAGTATGGGACTCCTCAGCAGTGCGCATCCATGATCCCGCACACGCGGGAGATGAAATTAAATAATGATAAGGTAGATTGCTTAATAATAATTAAATAGAATTTGAAAAGTTAAGATAATTTAAGAGGATCAGGTGGTGGAAATGTGTGAATAAAATTTAGTTTAAGAATTAGGTAATAGGGGGGGAGTATAAAATATCTTAAAATAAGTAAATGAATAAAATAACCAAAACAACAAAACAAAAGAGATTACCAGGGTAGTGATAAGTTTATTAAAGTCTCTTTTTGAATGCATAAGTCCGGTTTAAGTTTCTTAATCTCAATGAATTCAGCGAAGTGGAGAGTGGTCGTACTTCTTTGTCTATTGATAATTTTAAACGCGTGCAGAATATCGACGGTATGCCTAATGTCAAGTAGATGCCGATCTATTGCACTTTTGAAAGCTTTAGTCCCTCGTAACGTCAAGTTCTTCGGAATATGTTCAGAAATGCGAACCAGTATTCTTCTCTCAGTTCTTCCAATGTATGTGCTACGGCACGTACATGTGAAGCTAACCAATCATAAGCACATATCAAAAACTATTCGAGAAAAGACTGTGTGATCGGCCTTAAACAATTATTTCTTGGGTTTTATGGCTGCTCTCCTTGACCATCAAGATTATGCCTTATCCAACCTCCTCTTTAGGCCTTCAAAAGAACACCTAACGACCAGGTAGTGACAACCGTTTACCCACGTCATATAGCTTTAGTGTACAATTTTTTCCACAATCACAAATGTCATCAGTAATATCTACTCTCAAAAAATTCTATTTGTTTATTTTGATTTTTTCTTTTGGTGTATTTCTATTTTTATTCCTTTAATTTTTTTTCCTCTTCATTATGTAAACAAATACCAATTTAGTTTGCTAGTCAATTCACATTGAAACCCATGAAATTACAAACATTTTTACAAGCTTGGAATTTAGAACAATGTGAATATGTGGACAGTTACCATGGTGAACAAACATCGAAACAACAAACGCATCAGTTAATATCAGATTTAACATTTTTAATGCATCTATGCAATGATATTCCTACCAACTGTACTACTACTACTGATAATGATAATAGTAGTAGTAGTAATAATAATGTAATTGTTACATCAAAGATGTATTCTAATGATAAAATTTTAATGAAAAACTGGATTGAAAGAATAAATTTATTACAAGATCAATTAAATCCCAATATTGGACGATTTTTATGCTCACGTCCATCTACATGGAATCAATGTTTATATTTAGCCCGTGATAAATTTCAACATTACTTTAATCATAAAGTAAGAATGATATTTGCCTTTCAGGAAATTTTGTTTGTTTGTTTCTTTTTTTTTCTCTCTTTCTTACATTGAAAGCTGTTACAATTTCTCTTAGTACGATCTAACTACTGTTATTGCTTAGGGTTCACTCGAAAAGTCCTCAAATCAGAACATAATTGAATAGGAATGTGACTATATTCCAAATAACAATGGTGGATAGAAATAGGAACCGTAATAAGTGAAACCTTAGTATATTTATAATTGTGAGGACGACACACGGGCGAACTCGAGGAAGCTTTAAGAAGCTTAGATAGAGCCGAAGATATTCGATCTAATCATCTTTTGGAAGAATATTCCAGAATCCCTATAATTCAAATATCATGATGAACATGAACAGTCAGAGAATATAAAGAACTAAATTACCTAGGATTTTAGTGATATACTGGTAGAAAATGGTGTGGAACTAACGGATTCCTATTTATGAGACTGTTATTTGTTGATGAATTGAATAAACGTGAAAATTTTCCCTTTTCAACTAGATTACGTACTATTGACACTATTCAGAAAGCTGTATTCGAAGGGTAGAGAACAAGCTCTATCTACCGTGGACGAATTTTTTATTTGGCTGCGAAACGTAGCCATTTAGAGTAGAAGGTACTCGTAAGTTACTAGTATTTGATCACAGATGCCTTAAAAGTATTGCTCACATCTGCTGGGACCACGGGGTAAGTAATATCAAGGTTAGACACAGGATATTAGGGAATGGTGGTAAATCAGTTAATTAGGTTGTGAATCTTCATCGATTGAGATGGTTGAATCACGTGTTGCGTATGCCTGAACACCGATTACCATGACGCGCAATGTTAACGGTGTTGGGGCGCATATATATTTGGCGTACTCTTGTACCAACATGTATGTGTTCAAATAATATAATAATAATAAAGGTGTTGGGGATGGTTGGAAGAAAGTTAGGGGTGGCGAAATTAAAAAGTAGCATCAGTCCTTGAAGTCACTAACTTCTCATCTGAGCTATGTGGTAGATACAGACTACATGGTTGGGGTCCGTGTGACTATCATAACCAATGGTTGGAGACTCTTGATGACATGGCTCAGATTCGATCACGATGGCGTCGGTGTATACTAAGAAATTAACATCGCTTTATATCTTTCTTTCTACGAACCAATTCTTTCTTCTTGTACTATATTCTTATTGTAATCTTTCTTCTATATATTACCACCTCTAAATTAACTACTTCTATGAATTTGGTGTTCATCTTGTTGTGTTAATGAGGTATGTCAACTTGAACCGATGCATAAATGTGCCTGGTTCTACGTTGTAGCTGATTTACTGACTTAGAGGACTGAAACTCTGATCATCCAATGTCAAGTTACCGCTTAGCTGTTCAGTCAGCGTTTGAATTTCTATATAATTTGTCCATTTACACTGATTTCTTGCTTAGCTATAACTGAGGTATTCATATAAGTTCCTCTTTAAATAAACTGCAATAAAACTATACTAAAGGGAAGATTTCAAAAGAATCACGACGAATTTCCAGCTAGTTTCTAGTCAATCAGAAAACAGATTATATAAATGGATCATTGATGGAAAAGAAAACTATAATATTACAAAGCGTAAATAGATAATACATGAGTATTATTTGAACTAATATTTTATACAGGTTACTCTTACTGTAACTCGAAAATAACCAGTTATAAATCCATCTTAATGGATATAGTTTATCAACATTCTCGAACCTTTGAAATGTCAGAAACAGATTATTAAGAGTCCCCATATTGTTCTTAGTTAGGATCAAGATTAAGCGTTTAGATTTAGAGTTTCCATCAAGAATTGACGTAAGCTCTGACGCAAACTAACATCAACTGTGATATAAAAATGCTGTATAACCATAGAGATGAATGAAGTTTGCTTAAGATTATAAGACTTACGGATAAAGTCTTGAGATAGTGGAGAGTAGAGTCTATTTGCCTGTTATCTACAGTCCAAAGAGACAGAATTAGGGATTTGATACTATTAACATTATCGTTTTTACTCTGTGCTGGTAAAAAGTAATTCTTCACTAATGTTGTAAACACTTTGGAGCAGTATACAAATTTGTTTCTACTGATCATTGTACATTATATTTGTAGTTCGTACTTAGAGTATTTATTTAAATACATAAACATTGCTACAAGGAGGCACTAAATAGATATGAGACACATTCATTCGAATTGTGTGAGGGCTTAAATACTACGCGGTTGCTCAAACCGAAGCAGGTGGTTTACTTAGGGGACTACACCCGTAACATTTGACCTGAAAGTCTGATCCACAATGCAATGGAGCAACGTAGGAAGATGCAGTCTCATGGTAGCCGGTGACCAACATTAGGTTCATACACCATTTAATGTGGAATCAGGGTTTTCCAACTCCCAAGTTAGAGTGCCGAACATTCACATTTCGTCCTCTCAATTTCGTAAACAACAGTCATGCCACGAAAAATCAGTGAGTAAAACTTCCATGAAAATGGTTTTTATTTACGTTGCCATATGAGAGCATTTGGAGTGGGAGAGTTGACTCTCCTCACCTTCGGCCTTACCAGGACATTCGAGAGCGTACTTAGAGTATACCTTAACTTGAACTACTATTCAATGAACAACTCAATCGATCAAAAAAGATGTTAGAAACACAAATATCTGCACATGATTCTGAACCATTTCAATACAAAAAAAGAAACATGATAGGATTTATTTTGTTTTGTTTTGAAAATGGTCTACTGTGAAAATCATTCAACGAGATTAATATCCAACTATCAGATTTCAATTGTTTCTTGTCGTTAGAAAATTGAACGAAAACTAATCTTACCTAATCACTTGTAATGATCTAAGCTACTCTTTTTTTGTTCATTCCTCACTTATTTTTGTTTTGTTTGTTTTTTCCTTTTTAAGGCTCGTCAATTGTTACATTCTTTCCCCATCGATACAAAATTATCAAATGGAGGTAAGTTTTAATATGATTTTAACCTCATAAGATTTTCTTTAGTGTTCTTTCTCTTCTGAATACGATTGTGATAACCAAAGACATTTTTTGTAGTTTCTTTTTCATTGCTGATCATCCAACTCTGACGATCAACTTGAGAGGTTAACAACTAGTTTAAGTGACTTGATATCATGTACACTACGCTGAGATGTTAAGTGGTTAAAGGTGTAAAGGAGAAAATTCTTTTTGACTTTAGTTTCTTGCTAGTTGGTACTCGTCAGCAAGATCTTGAGGGTATTGATAGGAACCTAGATCACTCAGCCTCACAGCTATTTATTCCGTAGCTGACATCTTGTGGGATTGAGATACCTCGGATATATTGTATTTACGATTTTTAGGTTCATATCTCACAAGGAACATCAATCCCTTCAAGATAGCTGGTACGACTTGCTGACGAGCACCAACTAGCATGAAATATAGACCAAAAAAGATTTTCTACTGACTATCATTCATTCACTAACGTACTATTGTTGTCTTTGCTTTTTCTTTGTTGACGCTTACGTGCAAGGTATGTTCTTCGGTTGAACTAACGGGCTTATTATTAATGGAGTTCTATTTTTTTCTTTTCACTCTTTGATGATGGGTTGTAAACTAAGTTTTCTTAAAGATAGTTTCAACTTCCAATTCATCAGCTCTTCTTCATTTCGACTCAATGTTTTTTATCCTGCCAAAAATACTCCACTCGAAAGTGTTTTTTGTTTATCGAATCATTGATGGTTTAACATACCATCTGTTTGTTTTTGACTTTAAGGGTTTTTTATTAAGAATCAGTTTGGAATGTTTGCAGATAAGTTTTGCTTTTGATAAAATCACCGTCTCATGAAGTTTTTCTTCACACCGAATCTTTACCTTTCGGTTGTTTCAACAATATAGACATATCGCAATACCTGTTTGTAACCGTTTCGTTGAGATCGAGATATGATTGAACTTTGTCGACTAAATACCTTTATATCAGGATTTGTAATTGAGGTATCTCTCAAAAAGACACGTAAACCTTCTATAGGATTTCTACTCAATCAAGATAGTCGTTTTCAGCCTTATGAATAACTGGCACCTGGATTGACAATCACAAATGCAGTTCGTCAGGTTTTCTCATTCGTCCCACTTCACTTTTATTTAGCTTCGTTATAGGCATTCTATTGGAGATAATGCTTTGTTCGTTCGATTTCCAGAGAATAAGCTACTAAGAGATCGTTTCGCTATGATTTGATCTCCAAAGTTGTAGTTGTTCGTCGTTTATCTAATCGACTACAAGTATGTACGTACGTACATCAGTTCCAGCTGTCATACCATATTAGCACAGAGATGCAGTTGTCGATTCTAATCCCACAGTGGGGGAGGTAATGAAAGTATAAGAAGTAGGGTTTGAAGATGTTATTCAGGGAGTATAATCCACTAAAATAAATTTGGAAAGAGAAATAATAGAACATGAAGAATTCAGAAGATTAGGATTTGGCAGAACACAAAGAGTGGATACGTCTGCACTATTTCAAACGGTTTTGAGCCATTTCATTCAAGATCTCTAGCCTACGGTTGAACCACTAGCACAGATTGACTTTAGTTAGACAATCATTAAACAAACAAGGAAATAGCCTACTGGTCATCATATCCTGAACTCTCTAATATATTACGCTTAACTTTCAAAGTAAATAATTATCATTCAACGATCTATATTTCTCAATTCCAATGGTATATGGTCACTTTATAGGAAAAGACTTAACAGATGTATAACTTAGGTACTTACTTTACTTACTTACTTACGCCTGTTACTTCTCAAAAAGGAGTATAGGCTGCCCACCAGCACTCTCCATCCAACCATGTCCTAGGTAATCCTTTCCAACTCTTCCCAGTTGTTATTCATTCGTTTGCTTCTATTCCTCGACGTAATGTGTTCTTTTGCTTTCCTCCTTTCCGCTTCCTTTCAGTACTCCAAACAACTGTCTAATACTTCCTAATTTCCAATAGTTGTTTAATTAAATTACGCTAATACCTAATTGTTGTTTCATTGTTACTATCCATTCGAAGAAATCACCATAGGAAATATTTTTATTTTAATATATCTCGAATTGGAATATATAAATATTCAATAATTGTCAAGTTTTCTCTTTTTCTTCTGATTGTTCTTCATTCATCTCATTTAACATTTAATTAGTTTCCCTTAAAAAAAAGAAGGTTCATTGTAGGCAAATAGATATAATTGAATTTTATCTCTCCTGATTCTTGTTGCCTTTAGTCTCTTCTCGCTTTCCTTTTCTCTCTTCCTTTCCCCCTCCTCTCTCTCTGTATGCATGCGTGTCTGTCATATTGTATGAATTGCTTGTTACTTAAAGAAGAGAAGGAGAGATGAGAATGGATTCGATTAATCATATTATACATATATGTATATATGTACATATACATTCATAATGATGAGAATGATGATGATGATGATCTAATTATAATAAGAAAAATTTCAACTGACCTCTGAAGTTCCATGGTTGACCAATTTATGCCTCAATCTGGGAAAAAAAAATTGTTATTCCCATTGTTATTGGTAGAGTGTAATGTTCTTACTTAGTTTCTAATTCTATATTTTATTCACATTATTAAAAATGTGACAATTTCATATATATATAGTTCTATCACATAGATACACTATCTCTTTTACCCTCTGGCATTAATTCTTATCTCGATCTGTATCTACCTATCTATCTATCTATCTCTTGAGATCATTCAAAATTCTATTGCATTTTTGATGATTATCTGGTTTAAAGTTGGTTTTCATCATCTGAGATGGTTGAAACATAATTTATGTGCTTCTAACTATCATTGATCTCAATGTACGATGTTTTTTGATGTAGGAGAAGGTTTAAGGAATTCTAGGGATAGCCAAATCGAAGTATATAGAGTATATCCGTAAATTCATTGAGAATTAGGTTGGGCAGTGTTGGTACGTTTAGACTATCAAGTCCCAACCTATTCCCACAGTACTCATCATCAGATGTCGAAGTTGTATGGTGGATGGGGGCACATAATGTGTGTCCCATTCACCTCAGTCGATAAAGATTTATTACCCGACCAATAGATTTGCTATTCTTATTTGCTTTATGTATAACCTTAGAGTTGCTAATTAGATAGTCCCAACATACATAAGAAATACTTCGAAAGGAGTCTGTGATGAAATACTAGTAACTTACAAGTATCGTATATTTCTGAGCACTACATTTAACACTCATAGATTAGAATGGAGAAAATTGCTTAACAGAAGAACCACCCTTTGTTTGGCGGACAGACAGTTCGTTTATGACACATTGACGTAAGCTGGCTGACCGTAGAGAAATTTTTCCAGATACCGACTCATCAGGGTTGATGAAACTTCCAATGTTATAATCAATAGTTCGAGATACTGTATGACCTGACCTATAATCAGTTACAAGGGTGTAGATGTATTCACTCTCTATCTGAACTTTCAAATCATCTTTTTTTACATTTCCTTCTATTCTAAAAACTCATCTTTTCTCATATCATATTGAATTAGCCTAACGTTTTCCACTATTAATGCTAATATTTAAAGTGATGCGTACTTGGGTTCGAATCTCAATGTGAATACCAACACTGGAACATTTTTATAATCCAACTGAATAGTCTCAAATCGATCGAAATGGACATTTTTCTCATAGCTCATAATTGAAATATACTGTAAATTATTACGGAAGTTGAAAATCAATTTTGAGTACCATAAGAGGTATATCAAGAAAAATGTGATTGGAGATTGATGATTTTCAAGGCTTAGCATTACAAATTTTTTTAATATTCGCTGACTGGTAACTGTGTTATGATCTATATAACCTAGTGGTAATGTCTTCGATGTCAGCATCAGTTCTCCTAAAACTTCAAATATTTCTCACAGATAAGTATCAACCAACAGAAAATAAACCTAAAGTCGACTAGTCAGTCTTGGGTGCTCTTATTGGTATGAAAACGTTTATCAGTTCTCGATTCCTCACACTATAAGTACAAAAAAGCAAACTAAATTAAAGATGATTTTGTTAATTGAAGAACTTCACCACAGAACTGAAAGCAATCACCACTGGAACCCATCCATACAATGCTTTTTATGAGTAGTTTTATATAAGCTATCTCCGAACTTAAGACCTCGATTAGATAATTGCAATATACAAAATGCAAACACAATACTAAAGTAACTGCAATGATGATCTGATCGTTCTATCTGTCGATTCTCTTCAACCATGTAACCACATCATATTTACTAGAAATCTATATTCTATTGTGGCCCCATATGGAAATTGACCTGAATTGTATAATAATGAAATTTAAACTACTTCTTATATTTTTATTATTTGGTGTTTTTTTTTCGTTTCCAAGTAACGATCTTTCCGAATTTGTTTTTCTATCATTATTTAGCACCATTTTGGCAATTTCCCAAACGTCCACCTAAATCGATTGAATTTTCCATAACAGATCCATTGTAAGTTTTGCCTACTGATTTATGTAACTATACTGTGTTTTTTTTTCTTTTTCTTTACAAAGATAACTGAAATGATAACTAGTGTAACACTCGACTAACAATCATTAATTATTTTGTACATTTAAGTTAGTACCATTTTATAACACCACACATGTTAAAGTTAATGATCAAATTCTTAGCCTACCTTACTTACTTACGCCTGCTACTTCCAATAGAGCATAAGCCACCGACCAGCATTCTCCAACCCACTCTGTCCTGGGCCTTCCTTTCTAGTTGTATCCAATTATTGTTCATTCTTTTCATGTTTGTCTCCATTTCTCGATGTAATATGTTCTTTGTTCTTCCTCTTCTCATTTGACCTTGAGGATTCCAAGTGAATGCTTACATTGTGACACAGTCGAGTGTTTTCCTCAATGTATGTCCTATCTTTTTTCTGGTTAACGTTTTTTAGCGATCTACTTTTCTACGGCATAAGGTCTCTAACCCCATGCCCAACCCTCATTTTTTTATCCGGTCTTGGGACCGGCAGTAGCCTCAGAGGAGCTCCATGTAAAATAAAAACTCATCATGTGTTCAACTATGTGTAATAGGATTGAAGCCACATACTTTGTTATCTCAGCCCTAGTAACATGATCCAATTTCTCCCCAAACTGTAAAATAATGTTTGTATAAACAAAGATGAATAGTGGCTAGTAGTGGAATCCAGAACATGTGTTTCGTCCTAGTAGTTGGTACAGCTAGTTTCTGACAAGTTGACATTTTTCAATTTATATTTATCATTTCTTTAATTAACATACAAATGTCATTTGATTACTTACCTCATCCACAAGCTTAACTTATAGACAAACTGGAACTTCATTTTAAATACCTTTCAGTGACGATAACACTTTTCTAAACAGTAGCTGATAAAAAGTTTCCTAGTACTAGCCATTGTTTTTTTTTTCAATTTTCAAACTGTATCCATCCCATCGAAACAAATGCAAATAAAAACTCTCATTCACTTTTGTTGATTCTTAATCTGACCCTAGAAACCAAATATATACGAGTATCCATCATAGTTTATTAGATCAATGAATAATACAGGTTAACTTTTTGTTTTTCTTTTTTAAATTTTCTTCATAGTTTTGTAACTAAGTCAAAAATCATTAGACTCTTTAATATTAACTTCATTTAAAAGTATATGAGTTGTATCCAATTGGACTGAGATTTTTGTTGTTGTTGTTGTTGTTGTTGTTGTGTATATACAGAGGTATATAACGATTTTTTTTTTCTGGTTTTTGAATTCTTAATTAGTTTTGCTTTATTATAATTGTGAAGGGAAAGAAATCGCGGTATGGACTTTTTATTTCTATGGCAAAAACAAAAAAAGAAAAGAAAGAAAAGAAAAAGTTTATAAAGAAGAATAAATTTTCTAGTTGGAATAAAATAAAATTAGATAAAGCTATGAATAATTGAAATATTGTAACTATTCTTTTGAGTTAAGCCAACAGTATACCTGTGATGATGATGGTTGATGGCGGCTAGCAGTTGAATCCAAGATGTGTGTTTAGTTCTATTTTGGACTTATCATTTGCATATATCTGCATTTTAGAGTTGATGTTCAGTCTGGGACTCGAACTCAGTACCATTCACTCTAAACTCCATCACACTATCTACTTAGCTACTGAGTCCAGTTAGCCACTAAATTTTGTAATGAAAGGAAGTTTAATTCATTTTCGTATTGGTTGTCTAAATCTTCCGATTGATAGTTAGGACTGCAATTAAATCAGTAGCTAAGTGGACAAAGCGGTAGCGTTTGAAGTGAACGCTACTATGTTTGAGTCCTGGAGTGAACATCGAATCTGGGATGCAAGTACATCTAGCTGAGGAGTCCTAGAATAGGACGAAATACAGGTCCTGGATTCCACTGCTAGCTCTTATATGTCTTTGCTTACAATGCTTATAACTTAAGGTTATATCGAGGCGATTTTCACAGGATGCAAGCATATATGCCAATAACAGTCTGACCAAATACAAGCTTAAACATCAACGAAAAATTCAAACAATCAATGCAAAATTGAACTTGTGGTTTTAAAAACACTTTTCAGCCAATGAACAAATAGTTTATATGCGTCGAATGTAAGTAGTGAAACCTATTAAAGTACGGTTATTCTAAAAGGTTTATTCATCTTTTAACTCTTATTATCAGTTTTTGAATCATAATCTTATAAAACTATTGCTAAAAGAATCTCGTTGATCTTCGTCTAAGTTTATCTGTCCTACAGTATTCCTTCTTGTAATGGTGAATAGTTTTATATATAATTCATCGTCACCTTACTTACGCCTTTTACCCTTCGTGGAGTGACATAAATCACCCACTAACATTCCCATCGAACTCTGTCCTAGGCGATCCTTTTTAGTCGCCACTCATTATTTTCATGTCTGCTTCGAATTCTCGACGTAGTATGTTGTTTGGTCTTCCTCTTTCCCATTTCCATTAGCGCTTGCTTCGTGATGCAGTTTGATGATTTCCGTAATTTATGTGCTATCCACTTCCATCGTTTTTTTCCTAATTTCCTCTTCAGTTGGAAGTTGGTTTGTTCCATCTCACAGTAGGCTGTTCCTGATGGTATCAAGTCGACGGAGTCCTCACCCAAAAAAAAAACTTTATTGCTAAATTTGCTAGAGTTAACGAGGAGTTATGAGACAATAATGTAGAAAATTCATTTATAAAAGTCGTTATCTATTTTTTTCTATCCCTAATTTAGTAGTTAGGCTTCTATTCAGTAAACAGTTAATAAAATGGTTTGTTTAAAAGTGTACTTTAAAAAAAGTAAATCGAGGCGAACACTCACCACTTCATGTGTTATGTACAATCTATAGTGAAAGAAGTAAGTATTTGACATGTTTCACGTTATCTTCACACTTCATTGTGCTTTGGAGTCTGATAGGATGAGTTTTCGATTATCTATTGATGATATCGCTGATAGATGTGAATGTTGTTTCCAAAACTTTATGGATATCATGTTGAGCTATATCTAAGTAAATAGCATTCTCGTAATTGACCAAGTGCTTTTGTAGTTGCTCGTCAAATATACTCTGGTCCTCTTCATCATTGAGTTGAACTCTAAGCGGACTTCCTTTTCTGTCTTTTCTGAGTCCTGTAGAACACAGGCAAACACGTGCCAAGAGATTAACCCTCGTCTATCGAGCCTTTCCAACGATCACTGGTGGCGATATGGTATATTTTTATCCAACTTCTCCTTGTCAATATATTTCATATAATAGCTTTATAGGGCAATGTGAAGTGTTCTACTTTTTAGCAATGACTTTCCTTCTAACTCATACTTTCTGTTCTGAGAACTAAGTTTCACTGAAAATGCTAGTTGGATGAATGAAGTATCTTATTCTCATCAATTTTCAGTATAGTCAGCAGTACGACTTTATCATTAGATCTTAGATTACCTACTTTTACCTTTGCTACTCTCTTATGTGGCTACTCGAACTGATGTACGTACGTACATACTTGTAGTCGATTAGATAAACGATGAACAACTACAACTTTGGAGATCAAATCATAGAGAAACGATCTCTTAGTAGCTTATTCTCTGGAAATCGAACGAACAAAGCATTATCTCCAATACAATGCCTACAACGAAGCTAAATAAAAGTGAAGTGGAATGAATGAGAAAACCTGACGAACTGCATTTGTGATTGTCAATCCAGGTGCCAGTTATTCATAAGGTCTAATATGACTATCATGACAGAGTAGAAATCCTTTAAAATGTTAACTTGTCTTTTTTGAAAGATACCTCAGTTACAAATCCTGCTACAAAGGTATTTAATCGACACAGTTCAATCATATCTCCATCTCAAGGAAACGGTTACAAACAGGTATTGTGATATGTCTATATTGTTGAAACAACTGAAATGTAAAGATTCGGTGTGAATAAAAACTTCATGAGACGGTGATTTTATCAAAAGCAAAACTTGTCTGCAAACATTCCAAACTGATTCTTAATAAAAAACCCTGAAAGTCAAAACTGAACAGATGGTATATTAAGCCATCAATGATTCGATAAACAAAAAACACTTTCGAGTGGAGTATTTTTGGCAGGATAAAAAACATTGAGTCGAAATGAAGAAGAACTGACGAATTGGAAGTTGAAACTATCTTTAAGAAAACTTAGTTTACAACCCATCATCAAAGAGTGAAAAGAAAAAAATAGAACTCCATTAATAATAAGCCTGTTAGTTCAACCGAAGAACATACCTTGCACGTAAGCGTCAACAAAGAAAAAGCAAAGACAACAATAGTACGTTAGTGAATGAAAGATAGTCAGTAGAAAATCTTTCTTGGTTGTCAGTGACTGACTGACTTACTGACTAATTGATTGATATACCTTGATTAAGTTATTGACATATACACTGTTTTTCCCTGATCCTCCCGTTCATTTTATTTATTTTATTTCTATTGTCTGCCATTATTATTTACGTATATTTTCAATGAATGACCTTAATGCATATTTATTTATTTATTGATAAAGTTTGTTTGTTTATTTTTAAAAAAATTTCAAAAAAAATGGTGGAGTGTAAAACAATTTTTTCTCTCATTTCCAAAAAAACAAACAAACAAAATTTTTGAAACCAAGCCAATTTTTGTTCCGTTTCTCAGGGAGAGAGAGCGAGGGGGGAGGGAGATAGAGAGAGAGTAGGCCTTATATGCATATATAGATAGAGATAGAATTTATATCTTTAAGGTCATTGAAAATAATTGATGATTATTTTCACGCGTATTTTCTCTTCGTTTTTTTTTCAACTTCAATAATCATTTGATTTCGATTCTCATGATAATCATCTGTTCAAGGTCATTGGTAATAGAATACTGTAGGTCGATGTAATGGAATGTATTTTTGTTTTGTTTTCTTTTTCTTCTTTTTTTTTATTTGTCATATATTGAAAGAGAAACAAATGAACTATGACAAAATATCAGAAAGAGTTTTTATGATGAATCATGAGTC